ATCTCCAAAAAACAAAAGTTTTTTGAAGAGACAGGGATCTCAGTATGTTGTTCAGGTGGGATTACAGGCGTGAGCCACTGTGTCTGGCCTCTTCTTTAATTTTTAAATGTTTTTTATGTTTTTTTTTTTTTTTTGAGACGGAGTCTCGCTCTTGTTACCCAGGCTGGAGTGCAATGGTGCGATCTCGGCTCACCGCAACCTCCGCCTCCTGGGTTCAGGCAATTCTCCTGCCTCAGCCTCCTGAGTAGCTGGGATTACAGGCACGCGCTACCATGCCCAGCTAATTTTTTGTATTTTTGGTAGAGACGGGGTTTCACCATGTTGACCAGGATGGTCTCGATCTCTTGACCTCGTGATCCACCCGCCTTGGCCTCCCAAAGTGTTGGGATTACAGGCTTGAGCCACCGCGCCCGGCATGTTTTTTATGTTTTTAGAGTAGAGATCTAGCCGTGTTGCCCAGGTTGGAGCGCAGAGACGATGATGGTTCACTGAGGCCTTAAATTCCTGGGCTCCAGTGATCTTCCTGCTTCAGCCTCCAAGGCGCTGGGACACCAGGTGTGGGCCACTGCATCAGGCCAAGGAGATAACTTTTTGTAACATATCTAACCAAGTATAACCAGAATATTATCATTTTATCGTGTAATTAGAAAATTGTTCCTGCTGGGTGTTGTGGCGCACGTCTGTAATTCTAGCACTTTGGGAGGCCGAGGCAGGTGGATCACCTGAGGTCAGGAGTTTGAGACCAGCCTGGCCAACATGGTGAAACCTCATCTCTACTAATAATACGAAACTTAGCTGGGCATGGTGGCACACATGTAAGCCTCTAATCCCAGCTGCTTGAGAGGCTGAGGCAAGAGATTCGCTTGAACCTGGGAGGTGGAGGTTGCAATAAGCATAATGCATTCTAGCCCGAGTGACAAGAGTGAAACATTCTCAAAAAAAAAAAAAAAAAAAAAAAAAAAAAAAAGTTTTTCCCCACGTGATTTGACTGCGTGGGTGTGTGCGAGTGTATGTGTGGTTGTTTCCTGTATATTTTGCGCTCTGAACAGCTCCATCCTGCCAGCCACACGTTGGGTGATCTGTACGCCTCTCTGTGGGGGTCTTCTTTCTGTAGACCCCCACGGAGTGCTGTGGGATACTGCAGGGTTCATCTGGAAGCGCTGGGTTCTGCGCATCTGGAGTGAGACCCAGAGGGCTGGCCTCCTCCCTTCTGGTCAGGGGCTGGGGGCGGGAGGGTCGCCAGGCCTGCTGCCTCCCGTTGGGGTCCTGCTCCCTCCCGTTGGGGTCCTGCTTCTGCGACGAGGACGAGACGTCTTTCCTCCTGCTCACAGTCAGGACCCATGGCAGGGTTCCCGTCTCCCTCCTCAAGCTGGAATTCCAGCCTGCTGCGGTCCCTGTGGTTCCTGTCTCTCCACAGCGTCTTCCCTGGTGATCATTTGACCGAGGGCCCTGCCTCCCCTGGTTTTGGGGTTTTTTTGTCACAGGGAGTCACTGTCTCAGAGTGGTGGCTGCGGGAGCTGCAGGTCCGGCTGAGTGTTTTCGGCTGTGGTCTGTGCATCCTGAGGCTGCGCAGGTCGGAGGGGGCTGTGTGGGGGTCTGGCTGAGTTCCTCTTCCCAGGATTCACAGCCAGGCGCTTCTCATAGGTTCTGGGCTTTACTGGGGCAGAGAACGTTCCCGGGAGCTGATGACTCACGGGTGTGAGGGCTGGGAACACTCTGATTTACTGGGGTGTCACCTGCCCTGGCCTGCTCTCCTTGGCAGTGTGACATTATTTTAGGGGCTGCATAAGTGTTCTAAAAATGAGTGCCCCACAGAAGCAGTAGCAGGGTGAACTCGCCTCTGTAGCTGCCGTGAGCCGGGCCCTTTGCCCTGCTGCCTGTACCGCCATGGTGCCTCGTTCCCTGTCATTCAGCTGGGGAAACTGTCCTTACTAGGCAGTGCGCCCTGAGTTACTGCCCCCGTCCCCTCCTTCCTTGTGCTGCCTCCTGTCTAGAGCTACCTTGTGGTGTGGGCTGCTGTGTAGACCAAGGGCTGGGGTCCTGGGCTTTGTGCAGACTTCACCAGGCTTTTCTGAATCCCGAAGGCCTAGTGGTGACCTTCCCTCTCATGGTGGGTGGGGAGGACCCCTGACTGAGAGTGGACATCTAGGAAAAGGAGTCTTGGCTCTGAGGCCTTTCCAGCACAGGCCTGTTCCTGGAGGGCCCAGGGAACAAGCGGAGCCGGCCACAGAGCTTGGGTGTCCGTCCCAGGGCCCATGGCTGGAGCAGCGCGGTTGCCTCATAGTCCTGGGGTGTGGGGTGGGAGCCTTTGTGCGGAAGAGCCCGGCGCTGGCTTCCAGCTCTCTGTTGGAGTTCTTTTATTTATTTATATTTTATTTATTTTTGTTATTTATTTTGAGATGGGGTATTGCTCTGTTGCAGTGGCTGTTCACAGGTTTGATCCCACTACTGATCGGCGTAGAGTTTTGACCTGCTCCGTTTCCGACCTGGGTCGGGTCACCCCTCCTTAGGCAACGTGGTGGTCCCCGGCTCCCGGAAGGTCACCATATTGATGCCGAACTCAGTGCGGACACCCAGTCGGCATAGTGCACTATGGCCCAGAACTCCTGGGCTGAAGCAATCCTCCAGCCTCAGCCTCCCAAGTAGCTGGGACTACAGGCATGCGCCACCCTGCCTGGCCCGGCCTTTTTTTTTTTTTGAGGTGGAATTTCGCCCTTGTTGCTGAGGCTGGAGTGCAGTGGCGCAGTCTCGGCTCACTGACACTTCTACTTCCCGGGTTTAAGCGACCCTCCTGCCTCATCCTCCCAAGTAGCTGGGGTTGCAGGCTTGTGCCACCACACTTGGCTACTTTCGTATTTTTAGTAGAGACGCGGTTTCTCCATGTTGGTCAGGCTGGTCTCGAACTCCTGACCTCAGGATCCACCCACCTTAGCCTCCCAAAGTGCAGGGATTACATGTGTGAGCCATCATGCCTGGCTCGTGTTGGAGTTTTTTAGCCACCTGTCAGCAAGGGGCCGCATTTTCACTTTGCCTGGGCCCTTGAGTTCCACTGCTCCCTCACCACCCTCTCCTGCTCTGCTCTCTTCTCTGCCCTGCCCGGCTCCTGCCTCCTCCCTTTTCTTTTTATATCCCTCTGCTGCCCAGATTGAAAGTGAAGTGGTGCAATCTGGGCTCACTGCAAGCACTGCTTCCTGGGTTCAGGAGATTCTCCTGTCTCACCCACCAAGTAGGTCACATCACAGGTGTGTGCCACCACATCTAGCTAAATTTTTTTTTTTTTTTTTTTTTTTTTTTTTTTTTTTTTTTTTTTTTTTTTAAGAGATGGAGGAGTTTTGCTCTTTTTTTTTTTTTTTTTTTCTCTTTTGAGTCTTGCTCTGTCGCCAGGCGCCAGGCTGAGTGCAGTGGGGCGGTCTCGGCTCACTGTATCCTTTGCCTCCTGGGTTCAGGCAATTCTCCTGTCTCAGCCTCCCGAGTAGCTGGGACTACAGGCGCACACCACCAAACCCAGCTAATTTTTGTATTTTTTAGTAGAGATGGGATTTCACCATGTTGGCTGGGATGCTCTCAATCTATTGACCTCGTGATACATGCACGTTGGCCTCCCAAAGTGCTGGGATTACAAGCGTGAGCCCCTGTGCCCGGCTGGAGTTTTACTCTTGTTGCCCAGGCTGGAGTGGAATGGCATGATCTTGGCTCACCTCCACCTCCACCTCTTGGGTTCAAGCAATTTCCCTGCCTCAGCCTCCCAAGTAGCTGGAATTACAGGTGTGCACCACCAGGCCCAGCTAATTTTGAATTTTTAGTAGAGCCGGGGTTTCTCCATGTTGGTCAGGCTGGTCTTGAACTCCTAAACTCAGGTGATCCACCTGCCTCAGTCTCCCAAAATGTTGGGATTATAGACGTGAGCCAGTGTGCCTGGCCACTGTGTGTGTGTGTGTGTGTGTGTGTGTGTGTGTGTGTGTGTGTGTGTGTTTTGTAGAGATAGGGTTTCGTCATGTCTTTGAGAGGCCAAGGTGGACAGCTCGCTTGAGGCCAGGAGTTGGAGTCCAGCCTGGCCAACGTGGTGAAACCTTGTCTCTGCAAAAAAAGAAAAAGAAAAACCAAAAACCACTTCACTTTAAAATGTTTTCTCTGAGACAGTTTCTCTTTTGTTGCCCAGGAAGCTGTAGTGCAGTGGCATGATCTTGGCTTACCTCAGCCTCTACCTCCTGGGTTCAAGCGATTCTCCTGCCTCAGCCTCCTGAGTAGCTGGGGTTACAGGCATGCCCCACTATGGCTAGCTAATTCTGTATTTTTATTAGAGACAGGGTTTCTCCATGTTGGTCTTGCTGGTCTTGAGCCTCCAACCTCAGGTGATCCGCCCTCCTTGGCTTCCCAAAGTGCTGAGATTACAGGCATGGGCCACTGCACCCGGCCTGAAATGGTTTTAGACTTAAGAAAATGTTGCAAAACACCACACAGAGAGTTTTCACGGAGCCCACTTCGCTTCCTTGCAGCACCCCGATCTGAACCAGGAGGCGTCCCCAGCCCAGCACCGCCGTGAGCCCTCGTCTTTCCTGTCTCCCCCATCCTGGCTGGTCCCTTCCTGCATAAGGAAAGCCAGGGGTCTCCCGTCGTCTGGACTTTGGAGGAGAGCCAACCGGGGGCTCTGTCACAGTCGGGCCAGGCTGGTCTTCTCTGTGTTATGCTGAGGTTCTGCGTCCTGGCAGGAGCCCCGCAGATGGGGCTGGGCCTTGGGAGGCTCGTGGCGTCTGCATGTCTCACTGTGGTGACGCTGGCCTTGCATTTTGTCAGGTGGCGTCCACAGGTGCCCCGTTGGTTGGTTTTCTTCTGCCCTGGGCGAGGCATGCTGAGGCTTCGAGGCTGCCTGGGCCGCCTCTACGGTTCGCCGTGGACCTCAGCCTCCTGCAGCTGTGATTACTACAGTGGTTGCCTGATGGTGATTTTTTTAAAAAGTGTTTATTTTTATAAAAAAGACATGTGCTCTTGCTGTTTCTTAGGCCGGTCCTGTGGAATCAGGCCCCATGGAGGCTCCATCACCTGCAGTCACGTACCGGGCCTTTGCAGAAGCAGGATTCCCAGCCAGGCTGGAGCTCCCAGGCTGGAGCGGTTCCTGGTGGGCCTGTGGAGCGTGTCCTCAGGGGCTCGGGGTGTGTGGAGGAATCATCTGACCTCCAGGGAGAAAAGGGGGAGACACGTGGAGTGGAGCTTGGGGCGGCCGTTTGCTAAAGGGTGGGAGAGGAGCAGGGTGGGGGCTATAGACTCCACCCCAGGCCTCTCCCTATTCGCTGCCTGTGGTAGGACACGGCGTGCCAGGAATAGGTCCCCAGCAAGGTCCGTGTTCCCTGTGTGGTCCAGGGTCTAGGAGTGTCTCTGGTGGTCCCGGCTGGGCGGTGGGCTTGTCTGGTGGTCCTGGCTGGGTGGTGGGCTTGAGAGCTACACCAGTTGGGGAATGAGACGGGAAGTTGGCGGCGGTGCTGGTCCGGCAAGAAGCAGTGGGGTCCCAGGGGTAAAGGATGGCTCTGCGTCTCTGACCTTTCTCTCTCTTTCAGGACAAACATCACGATGCTGCTCATGAAATCATCGAGACCATCCGGTGAGTGCAGGCCCGAGGGCCCGTCATGGGGTGTCTTCAGTGCTGTGGACACCCGTGCTCTGCAGACTCTGGGGCGGCTCCCGAGGGGGAGGCTCCTGGAGGTGTTGCAAAGCCGAGCGGGGTCTTCTCCCAGCTCCCTTCCTGGCCAGTTGGTGTAGAAGTCCTGAGTTGGGGCGTCCAGCGGGGCCTCCAGGGGCACTGCCCTGCCTTCTTCTGCCTTCTTGTTAGTCTCTGCCCTGTGGGCTTTGCGCTGAGCTTCACTCTCACGCGCCCTCAGTGGCCTCCTGTGTCTGTGTCCCAGGGGTACAGAGAGGTGCATTCCGGGGGCGACTTGGATGGGCAGGAGGAGGAGGCCGCCCCATCCTTGTGAGCTCCCAGCCTGGGTTCCGGAGTCTGCGGTGACAGCACAGGGAGGCCTTCCAGGGTGCCGCTCTGCTGCCCACTGGGAAGCTGCCCATGGTGACTGGCATTCTGTGTGTCTCAGGTGCTCAGAGGCGCAACCCTCATTGTGTCCACCTGTAGGGAGACCACATGTGTCTGTGGGGCCCTGGCGTCTTGCTGGGCTGCTCCTCAGCATGCTCTGCTCTGAGGCCACCGTCCGTGCACACGCCCAGCATCTGCCCAGGCCTGCAACTGTCACGAGGGCCATGCCGAGCTCCTCTTGGCCTGTGGCTCTGTGCCAGGCCCCTGGCTCCCAAGGCCCTGTGGTTCACTGTTGGGGCCGGGCGGCATCCCCTGGCCAAGCTGTTGGAGGATGAAGAAAAACCATTGTTGTCTAAGTCGGCCAGAGTGGGCCTCACCCAGGGTCCATGCTTAGAATGTGCGATCTGCTTTTTTTTAAGTCACCATCTGTGGACCAGGCAGTGGAGTAGGGGCTCCTTTGTTCTTTGTAAAAGAAGCCTGGTGTTATGGTTGGAGGGAGGGTTCTGCATCAGGCAGCTGGGCCACGGCCCAGCCTCAGCCCAGCTGCAGTGTGCTCCTGGGAGCCGGCTGCCTCGCTGTGCCTGGGTTTCTGTTGTCTGCATTCAGGGGCCGAGATCGTGCTGGCCCATTACTGTCCTGTGCGTTTTTCCGTGCCTGCCCACGCCAGGCTGCTCAGATCTCTGTCCTGGTTCCTTTGGTGCATTGCAGTGACTCATTTTAGAGTGAAGCAGCTTTTCCTCCCTGGGACGTGCCACCGTGAAGTTTCCTCATGTTTTTAAGGGATTGTGGGGTGTGTTTGTAAGGGATGTTGGTCTGCCATTTCTTTTATTTTCTTTTTTTTCTTTTCTTTCTTTTTTTTTTTTTTTTTTTTGAGACGGAGTTTTGCTCTTATTACCCAGGCTGGAGTGCAATGGTGCGATCTCGGCTTACCGCAACTTCCGCCTCCTGGGTTCAGGCGATTCTCCTGCCTCAGCCTCCTGAGTAGCTGGGATTACAGGCACACGCCACCACGCCCAGCTGATTTTTTTGTATTTTTAGTAGAGACGGGATTTCACCATGTTGATCAGGATGGTCTTGATCTCTTGACCTCGTGATCCACCCACCTCGGCCTCCCAAAGTGCTGGGATTACAGGCTTGAGCCACCATGCCCGGCCCTTATTTCTTTTATTGTCTTGACTTTTTTCCCAGTCCTTTGTGTGTCTACAGTTTTAGTGTCAGGGTGACGCTGGCTGCATGAAACTCTGAAGAAGTTTCCGTAGGTTTAGTGTTACATCTTGTAAGGGTTTGAGAGAATTCACCAGTGAAGCCATCAGGGCCTGGAGCCGTCTTTGTGGGAAGTAAAATCTTTCTCAGGTGCAGAGCTTTTGGAGATGTCATTTCTTCTTGTGTCCGTTTTGGTTTGGTAATTTGTGTCCTTCAGCTCTTGGGATGCCTTTTTCAGCTCTTGGGATGTGTTCCTTTCATTGAGGCTGTTGGATTTATTGGCATACCCTCTCCTCTCCTCCCCTTTCCCCCTCCCTCCTTTTTTGAGAGACTCTTGCTCTGTTTCCCATGCTGGAGTACAACGGTGAGATCTCAGCTCATTGCAACCTCCACCTTTCAGGTTCAAGCGAATCTTCTGCCTCAGCCTTCCGAGTAGCTGGGACTACAGGCGTGTGCCACCGTGCCTGACTAATTTTTGGGTTTCGTTGGCCAGACCTCCGTTGAACTCCTGACTACAAGTGATCCGCCCATCTTGGCCTTTGAAAGTGCTGGTGCTATAGGCCTGGCCCAATTTTCTTAGTGTCACTGATTTTCCTCACTGCCTGTAAGTTCTGTAGGGACAGCACCCCTTTCATGATAATTTTCAGTGTCGTATCAGGACCCAAGTGAGGTGGAAGCATTGTGATGCGCTGGTATGTGGCCATCTCTGGGTCTGTAGCCCCTCTGGCTGGTTTTTTCCTGGCAGTGTTTGTTGATGAAGCTCAGCCTATTTTGGGATTAGTTAATTCTTCAAATTACAGTTGTCTTCAGCTTTTTTTTTTTTTTTTTTGAGGCGGAGTTTCACTCTTGTTACCCAGGCTAGAGTGCAATGGCGCGATCTCGGCTCACCGCAACCTCCGCCTCCTGGTTCAGGCAATTCTCCTGCCTCAGCCTCCTGAGTAGCTGGGATTACAGGCACGCCCCACCATGCCCAGCTAATTTTTTGTATTTTTAGTAGAGACAGGGTTTCACCATGTTGACCAGGATGGTCTCGATCTCTTGACCTCGTGATCCACCCGCCTCGGCCTCCCAAAGTGCTGGGGATTACAGGCTTGAGCCACCGCGCCCGGCCTGTCTTCAGCTTTTTGTCAGCCAGTTGCTTTTCAAACTCTGATGTGGCCAGTGGCTTCCTAGACCATTGCTGTAGCGTGTGAGTTCACTTAGCTCCCCAGAGCCACCCATATGTGACCTTGAAGCCACGTGAAATCTGTGTGACTCATTAACAGCTTCATGGTAAACATCATAGCCTTTGTTTTGAAGTCACACCTCCTTTCTCACTCCACTTTGAGTGGAATGGTGGGGATGTTTATTTTCTGCTCGAGAGGACGCAGTGCTTAAAAGCAGGTGTGGGCCGGGCGCGGTGGCTCACACTTGTAATCCTAGCACTTTGGGAGGCCGTGGCAGGCAGATCATGAGGTCAGGAGTTCGAGACCAGCCTGGCCGACACAGTGAAACCCTGTCTCTACTAAAAAATATAAAAATTAGACCGGGCGCGGTGGCTCACGCCTGTAATCCCAGCATTTGGGAGGCCGAGGCGGGTGGATCACGAGGTCAAGAGATCGAGACCATCCTGGTCAACATGGTGAAACCCCGTCTCTACTAAAAATACAAAAATTAGCTGGGCATGGTGGCGCACGCCTGTAGTCCCAGCTACTGGGAAGGCTGAGGCAGGAGAATTGCTTGAACCCAGGAGGCGGAGGTTGTGGTGAGCCGAGATCTCGCCATTGCACTCCAGCCTGGGTAACAAGAGCGAAACTCCGTCTAAAAAAAAAAAAAAAAAAAAAATATATATATATATATATATATATATATATATATATATATATATAAATTAGCTGGCTGTGGTGGCACACGCCTGTAGTTCCAGCTACTCGGGAGGCTGAGGCAGGAGAATCACTTGAACCCAGGAGGTGGAGGTTTCAGTGAGCTGAGATCGCAACACTGCACTCCAGTGGGGCGACAGAGCGAGACTCCATCTCAAACAAGCAAACCCCTCATGATTGTTTCTGCTGCTGTATTTCAGATGGGTCTGTGAAGAAATCCCGGATCTCAAGCTCGCTATGGAGAATTACGTTTTAATTGACTATGACACCAAAAGGTAAGCAGAGTCCTGCCCGGCTGCTCCTCTCCCAGGACAGGCTCGGCTGCTGGGGAGGGTGGGACGTCGCAGCCTATAATTAGCTCTTCTTAGATGCTGCGAGCTGATCTGAAATTTCCTTTTAGAGTTGGCTGTGGCCACCATCAAGTTATTTTGGTAGGAAATGTTTATCAACTCTTGGCAAAGGCGGTCAGAGCCAGGACAGAATTGGAAACTCCGGTTGTGGAAAGTGGAATTGGCATGTGTGGAGTCAGCCCGCGTTAGTAATCGCACTTTTTATAGCTGGGGGCTGACGGCCAGAAGTCCGCGTTCCTGCTCGGGGCCGTGTGGCTGGCCAGGCCTGGGCGGCCTTAGGCTCCTTGGCAGCTCTGTTTGGATCTCAGTTGGGTTTGGTCTCCCTGAGTCTCCAGCCCTGTGGCCGCCTTAGCAGGCGTTAGCAGTGCTCCCTGGCGGCTCCTGGGGCTTTGAGGAGGGTCTTGTGGGTGGAGAGGGGCAGGGCTGTCTCTGGAATGCTGGCTGGGAAGTGCTTTGTTTTTCTTTGAGTAGGAAGACATTCCAGGCTCCAGCCTTTTTCAGCTCTTGGGAGGTCCGAAATCAACAGTGTTGTCCTCCCTCGAGAGCTCTGCCATCTGAGCTTAAGTGAGCCGCTCTCCACGCTCCACCGACAGTCAAACCCGGGGCCCTTGACGCCCTCACGGGCTGAGCACGCCCTGCCTGCTCTCCGGCCTCACGGGCGTGTGGCAGGGACTCTCTGTCTGCCATCAGGGTCTCAGCCTTGGTACACCTGGAGGGCCTGTGCCTCTCCCTCGAGCCCTGCTGCCCCACAAGCGGAGAAGCACATTGCGCTCACTTGGGGCTCAGCTGCTGGCAGAGGTCCTCCGTGCTGACCTGCTGCTGTGGACGTTACGCCACTTGCCCTGCACGTTGGGACCTCCTGTGACCCCTCCTCAGACGTGATGGTGTGCTGGGCTCTTCCTGGTGTGATGCGGCATGCAGATGAACAGCCACGTGGCAGGGTGCACAGAGGGGGTCTGCAGGGCCACACAGAGCTGTCTCCGTGGGGGCGGGATGCACCAGCCCGGAAGCGCTCTGCATCCTGTATTTTTGGGTTTCTTGTCGGCCTCTCTGAGGCCTTGCTGATGTCCGTGGAGTGGGGATTCACTAACCCGGAAGCGCTCCACATCCTGTCCTGGGTTTCACGTGAGCTTCTTGGAGGCCTGGCTGATGACTGCCTCCATCTCCAGTTCCCTGTCTAAGCCTCTTACTGCAGCTTGGGCTTTACCCCACCCAGGGGGCCCCCACAAGTTGCCTCCTTAGAACAGAAGATGCTCCTGTCACCTGGCAGTTCCCAGGAAGCAGGAGCTCTGTCAGGCACTGGAGACGCCTCGGGTGGGTAGTGTCCGGACTGACCCCTTTGGTGGTAACCCAGGGGTTGCTGTGCCTTGCCTCACTTGTGTGTGGCTGGCCTGTGCCTTGGCTCTGAGCAGCAAGTGTGTCCGACGCTGTGCTCACGGCGCCCTGGCACGTGGGTGTGTGGCGTCCTTCCCCTTCTCAAGGCTAAAAAGACATCAGGGACCGGCTGGGTGGTGGGCGGTCCTCATTCTCTCTCCATGCCCCTGAAATGCTGGCAGGGGCACCTAAGGGACTGAGCCATTAGGGCGTCAGGCCAAGGGCAGCCCTGGTCTCTCCTGTATCTGCATTTGTACCTCCTGCCAGGACATGTCTCCCAGGGAGTGCCTAGAGGTACTTTGGGAGGGATGTGGTTGTCAGCCGAAGATGAGTGTGGAAGTTGGCGGCCAGTACTTCTCCTGGGGCTGTGGGGAGGGCGGGAGGCAGTGGGCTGGCTCTGCCACCACGTCCTTCTTCCCGTGGCGGGAAGCTCTGCCACCGCGTCCTTCTTCCCGTGGCGGGAGGCTCTGCCACCGCGTCCTTCTTCCCGTGGCGGGAGGCTCTGCCACCGCGTCCTTCTTCCCGTGGCGGGAGGCTCTGCCACCGCGTCCTTCTTCCCGTGGCGGGAGGCTCTGCCACCGCGTCCTTCTTCCCGTGGCGGGAGGCTCTGCCACCGCGTCCTTCTTCCCGTGGCGGGAGGCTCTGCCACCGCGTCCTTCCTCCCGTGGCGGGAGGCTCTGCCACCGCGTCCTTCTTCCCGTGGCGGGAGGCTCTGCCACCGCGTCCTTCTTCCCGTGGCGGGAGGCTCTGCCACTGCGTCCTTCTCCTTCCCATGGCGGGAGGCAGGCCCTGGCCAGATGCTGCTCCCAGACCCAGGCCCACCCCACCTGCTGGCCCATCGCTCTGCCTGGGCTGCCTCCGCCCTGTGTCCTTCATGCTCCACGTGATCCCGGTTCCATGTGGCTGTGCCTCCCAGGGCTGTTGCAGGGCCTTGTGCTTGGCGTTTACTGCTCTTAAGTTCTCTTGCTTTATCCTTTGAGCTGCTGGTTAAGGAAAGTGTGACCTCAGCCTTAGTGCTCGGGTTTTCCTGTGAGGAAGGCAGTGTGTGAACTTTGGACACCTGCAGTGCCCAGGTTAATTCAGGGCAGCCAGGGCGGAGCAGGAAGAGCATGGGGCTGGGGCTGGGGCGGGAGGAGGTGGAGGAAAGAGCCCCCAGCCCCCTGCCCTCCCACAGCTGCAGACCCCCGGGCGCTGGGGACGTGGACATGGGGGTCAGGTCGTTCTCTGGGAGGACCATCCTGGACACTGCAGAGTGCCAAGCAGTCCCTGCCCCCGTCTTTTGCTTGCTTCGCCACATTCCTGGGGTCCCTGGTGAGAGCCACCGTGTTTTACAGTGTTCCCAGGACAGGCCACCCTCCTCCTCCTGTCTCTCAGTCTTCTCTGGCACCTCATGAGGAGGTGGGACGGACGCCGTTGCCCGCGTTTTGCTGATGGGCCTGGCAGCCTAGGAAGACTAGGTCCAGAGCGGACAGACTGGGCTAGGCTGACCCCAAAGCGGGCCTGTCCCCGACCCCCCCGAGCCCAGGCCTGGCTGGGCAGCGTGGCCCACGTTTCCTATGGCTCACGTGCCCCCCGGACATTGGGTACTCCCTGCTGCCAGGTGGGCTCTGCCCTGGAGGGCTGTTGGGCACACGAACTTGGGTAGTGAAGGCTGGCCCTGTGGCCCAGGGCTCGGGGCAGAACTGCTGCCAGTGGAGGCGGGGGCTGAGTCTCACTGTGGTCCCTGTGTGCTGTGTCTGACGTGACGCACTGCTCATACATGAAAGAGTTGGGGCTTCAGAGGGATGTACACACAGAGCAGTGTGGGCAGGGTCGGGGGGCACCGACTGACCTTTCTGTAGTGCTCCCTCCTCCTGCACCTGCCCGGGCAGAGGCCTGCTGCTCCCCAGGACTGCGGCTGTTCCTCTGCCTCTAGTGCGGGTGGCTCTCCCCAGCCAGGGGAAGGAAGACCCTGTAAGGCCAGACCCATGGGTTCCCACTCTGGGGGGCTGGCCTTGGTCCCCCTTGAGCCCTCTTCCTCTCCTCACGCCTCTAGCTCACCTGGACCTGGGCTTTGCGCTGGTGCCTGGGCAGGTGCAGCTGCCTCAGGGTCCAGTGCTTCCTTGCACGGGATTCTGGGGGTCCCCTTGCCTGTGCCCAGACCTGAGGTCCCCTGCATCAGGCTGGAAAGCCAGGCTTCTGCTGGAGGAGTCTGGGCCAGCTGGCTGTTGGGCGGGGACCACACCTCGGAGCCTGCCCTGTCCGCGTGCCATCCCCTCTGTGCTCGGAGCTGGTTCTGGCCCGTATGACCAGGCCCTTCCCTTGCTTTTTTCAGCTTCGAGAGCATGCAGAGGCTCTGTGACAAGTACAACCGTGCCATCGACAGCATCCACCAGCTGGTAAGTGGCTCGCCCTGCCCCGGGGAGGGGTCAGCAGTGCCTGGCTCCCAGACCCCTGACGTCATCTTCTAGGGGCACAGGGCTCCCCCTTATAGCCCTTGGGCATTGGAACGTGCAGCGAGGGGGCCTGTGGCCTGTGGGTGAGTGGGGGTGCTGCTGAGGCCGGGCTGTGTGCCTGTCGGCTGGGCGAGCTGCACACTGTAGCCATGTGGCATCGCAGAGCTGTCTATGGTTTGTGTGCTGAGGCAGGGCCCTGAGGCTGTGATGTCCGCACACGCCTCTGCAGCCCTGGGCGGTCCCCGAGGGCCCCAGCAGAGGCGCGGTCCTCCCTGGGCCATGTGAGTGCGGCCTTCCCCTAGGACCTCCCCCATGCTGCCCACCTTCCTCAGGTGGGATGCGGCCTGGGCTGCACCCTGGGGCTCCCCGGTCCTGCCATGTCTTGTGAAGCTTTCCTCACAAAGGATGGGGGACACACCAGCTGGGGTGTAGCGGGGAGTGTGCTGCTTCCCGTGTTCTAGAAAGCGCTGTGGTCCCTGGTGTGTGAGGGCAGGAAGCTCTTAAAGGTCTTGCTGTGGAGGGAGGCCCTGGTGGGGACAGCATGGCCTCACTGGGCCCTCCTGAGTGGGGCTGGCGAGGCTGCTTCCACTGGGAAAGGGCCCAGGGCTCGGGCAGAGGGGCTGGGGCGGCCTGTGGCCAGGCGGTTCATGTGGCGTGGCCGGCCACCCTGCGTCCGCAGTGGAAGGGCACCACGCAGCCCATGAAGCTGAACACGCGGCCGTCCACCGGGCTCCTGCGCCACATCCTGCAGCAGGTCTACAACCACTCGGTGACCGACCCTGAGAAGCTCAACAACTACGAGCCCTTCTCCCCCGAGGTGTACGGGGAGACCTCCTTTGACCTGGTGGCCCAGATGATCGACGAGATCAAGATGACCGACGACGACCTGTTTGTGGACCTGGGGAGCGGTGAGTGTCGCCTGCCACGCGCTCAGGCACAAGCTCTGTGCCTGCCCATGCCTGCTTGGAGAAGAGTTGAACAGGGTCTGGCGATGCTGGCGTAGACGGCGCTTCCTTCCCCACCCCTCTGCCCTGCTGTGGTTCCGTTCGTTTTCCCGGCTCCGACCTTCCTGGAGCCCGGGGCTCTACCCAGAGGGAAGAAATCAGGGAACCCAGCGGTTCCCAGACTGTCCCCCTCCTTCCAGGTGCCTGGAGACTACTTTTCCCCTGCTCCCTGCCAGCAGGGGAGCAAGACCTGTGTACCCTCTGCGCTCACTCCCAGGAGCTGTGCTCTTTAGCCTGGGCCCCAGCCACGCCTGCAGCCTGCAGCTGGCAGCGGCCCCTTCCCGGGCACATCTGCTCCCTCCACAGCAACTGGAAAGGTCCCGTGCAGAGGAATACCCCAGGTCCCTGGGGCTCCTGGAGGGCCTTGTGCCCTCCCTGCATCCCCAGCCTCCCTCGGTACCCCTACGTCTGGGCCATGTCCTGCCCCTCCCAGGTTAGGGCTCAGGGTGGTCTCGGCAAGTCCCCACAGACCACCTTCCAGCTACTGGCATTGTTTCAGCCTCTCTCTGCACTGAGACTCTGACAGGCTCTGCTTGTGAGGTGTCATCCCCTCTTGCAGCACAGTAGGGCTCCTTGAGGCAGGGCCCCAGGTGTGGGTTCATGGCTCTGTCTTCAGTACCCATGTGGCCTGAACGAGGCACAGGTGAGCGGTCAGCACATGAATAGCCACGTTAGCCTGATTTCTTTCTTTCTTTTTTTTTCTTTTTTTTTTTGTTTGTTTGTTTGATTGATTGATTTCTTTCTTTCTTTCTTTCTTTTTTTTTTTTTTGAGACGGAGTCTCACTTTGTCACCCAGGCTGGAGTGCAATGGCTCGATCTCGGCTCACTGCAACCTCCGTCCCCTGAGTTCAAGTGATTCTCCTGCCTCAGCCTCCCGAGTAGCTGGGACTACAGGCGTATACCACCACGCCTGGCTAATGTTTTTTTTCAATAGAGATGGGGGTTTCACTGTGTTAGCCAGGATGGTCTCAATCTCCTGAACTTGTGATCCGCCCACCTCAGCCGCCTAAAGTGCTGGGATTACAGGCGTGAGCCACCATGCCTGGCTAGCCTGATTAATTTCTGATAGGACGCAGGGCTGACTGGGTCACCAGCTGTCAAGGGTTAGGCGGTGGAGGCCCCTTCTCCGCAGTGTCTAGGCTGTCACTGGGCCCCTCGAAGCTCAGTGGACATGTAAACGTGTGCCTGTAGGTGTGTGAGCCCCGCTTCCAACAGTTCTAGCTCTGATGTAGGGGAGGGGGGCCCTGAGGGTAGGGACCAAGAGGACTTTGCAAAGACTGGACGTGGTGGCTCATGCCTGTAATCTTAGCAGTTAGAAGGCTGAGATGGAAGGATCGCTTGAGGCCAGGAGTTCAAGACCCACTTGGTCCGCATAGCAAGACTCCCATCTCTGTCTGTCTTTCTATCTGACAGAGTCTTGTTCTGTCATCAGGCTGGAATGCAGTGGCATGATCTTGGCTCACTGCAACCTCCGACTCTCTGGTTCAAGTGATTCTCCTGCCTCAGCCTCCCAAGTAGCAAGGACTACAGGTGTGCCCCGCCACGCCCAGCTCATTTTTGTATTTTTAGTAGATAAGGGGTTTCACCATGTTGGCCAGGATGGTCTCGATCTCTTGACCACATGATCTGTCCGCCTTGGCCTCCCAAAGTGCTGGGATTACAGGCATGAGCCACTGTGCCCGGTCTTTTTTTAAATGTTTTTTAAAATTTTTAACTTTTATTTATTTTTTAAATAAAGACGGGGTTTCACCATGTTGGTCAGGCTGGTCTTGAACTCCCGACCCCAGGTGATCCGCCCGCCTTGGCCTCGAAAGTGTTTGGATTACAGGCGTGAGCCACCATGCCTGGCCTTTTTTTTTTTTTTTTTTTTGAGACGGAGTTTTGCTCTTTTTACCCAGGTTGGAGTGCAGTGGCGCAATCTCGGCTCACCGCAACCTCCGCCTCCTGGGTTCAGGCAATTCTCCTGCCTCAGCCTCCTGAGTAGCTGGAATTACAGGCACGCACAACCATGCCCAGCTAATGTTTTGTGTTTTTAGTAGAGACGGGGTTTCACCTTGTTGACCAGGATGGTCTCGATCTCTTGACCTCGTGATCCACCCGCCTCGGCCTCCCAAAGTGCTGGGATTACAGGCTTGAGCCACCGCACCTGGCCCTGGCCTTTTTTTATTTTTTATTTTCAAGCTAAAAAACCTACAATAAAATAATGAGTATTGGTTGGGTGCAGCGGCTCACACTTGTAATCCTGGCACTTTGGAAGGCTGAGGTGAGTGACCTCCTCATCCGAGGTTAAGTATTTGAGACCAGGTGGCTAATCTGGTGAAACCTAGTCTTTACTAAAAAGAAAAAAAATTAGCCGGGTGTGGTGGCGGGTGCATATACTGCTACGGGGAGGCTGAGGCATGAGAATCGCTTGAACCTGGGAGGCAGAGGTTGCAGTGAGCCGAGATCGTGCCGGGTGGGTTCTGCGTGTAATCCCAGTGCTTTGGGAGGGTGAAGTTGGAGGGCCACTTGAGTCCGGTTTAAAACCAGTCTAGGTGACATAGTGAGACCCCATCTCTACTACAGAGAGCAAAGGATGAGCTGGGTGTGGTGGTGCTGGCTTGCGGTCGCAGCTGTTCGGGAGCTGAGGTGGGAGGGTTGCTTGAGCCCAAGAGGTGGAGGAGACTGCAGTGAGCCAGCATCACACCATGGCAGTGCAGCCCCCTGGGCAACAGGACCAGACCCTCTGTCAAAAAAACCAAAAACATTAAAAAGGCTCCTGTGTTTTAGACCATGTCCTAGCACTCGTTGGCGAAGCTCCGGCCTTCTTTCTGTGTGCCTCCCTCCCCGCTGGTGTGGTGCCCGTCTGTGCCTCCCTCCCCGCTGGTGTGGTGCCCGTCTGTGCCTCCCTTCCCGCTGGTGTGGTGCCCGTCTGTGCCTCCCTCCCCGCTGGTGTGGTGCCCGTCTGTGCCTCCCTCCCCGCTGGTGTGGTGCCCGTCTGTGCCTCCCTCCCCGCTGGTGTGGTGCCCGTCTGTGCCTCCCTTCCCGCTGGTGTGGTGCCTGTTTCTCCCTTCCCGCTGGTGTGGTGCCCGTCTGTGCCTCCCTCCCCGCTGGTGTGGTGCCCGTCTGTGCCTCCCTCCCCGCTGGTGTGGTGCCCGTCTGTGCCTCCCTCCCCGCTGGTGTGGTGCCCGTCTGTGCCTCCCTCGCCGCTGGTGTGGTGCCTGTTTCTCCCTTCCCGCTGGTGTGGTGCCCGTCTGTTTCTCCCTTCCCGCTGGTGTGGTGCCCGTCTGTGCCTCCCTTCCCTCTTGTGTAATGGTCACCGTCTGTGCCTTCCTTCCTGCTGGTGTGGTAATGGCGGTCTGTGCCCATCGTGGTCGTGCCCTGGTTCATGCTCAGTCTCTGGAGGGCAGAGCTGCTTAGCAGGGGAGGAGAGGGGTCTTGATGCCCCTGGTGTGTGTAGCTGCTTCCGCCATCCTATTGCTGACGCATCTACAGCCCCAGTTCCCTCCTCCTCCCTCAGAACTGGGTACTGCGTTGTGCACTGATGCTGTGAAACCACAGTGGCTGGGAGCCTGTCCTGGCTGCAGGGCGCTCCTCACTGCCTCTCCCACCCCACGTCGAGCCTAAGATCCCACTCATGATTCTTCCTGGGCACCATCAGATTTCATTATCCATGTTGCTATGTGTCTCTGTGGTGGTGACGCAGGGATGATTTGGGGTGGGCAGGAGCCTTTCCAGACCTGCCGAGTCTCAGGCAGCCCTGTCTGTCTGAACATTGAATCCCACATGGGGCTCTTAGATTCAAGATGGAATCTGGTTCTGGGGGCCACCAACTCATGTTCATGGATGATGTGTTATAATGGCTGTTTGCTCACGGGGGCTTTGCTTGGGGCCTGGTCTTTGTCATGTATCCTAAGTGACCTCGGAGCATCGCGTGTGTGAGGAGACCCGTGGCCTCCCCTGTGGGTCTCCGTGGCCGTGATTTTGTGGCCTGTGTCCCTGAGCTGGCATGGCCTCCCAGATGACGTCCGAGCGTGTGTTGTATCTGATGGATCTCTCTGATCACAGGTGTGGGCCAGGTTGTGCTCCAGGTCGCTGCCGCCACCAACTGCAAACATCACTATGGCGTCGAGAAAGCAGACATCCCGGCCAAGTATGCGGAGGTGAGCGGGGCTGCAGGCTGCCGCGTGTTGGAGGCAGGGGACTCTCAGAGAAGGCGACGCCCTGGGTTCCTGTCTCCCACTGCTGTGAGACTTCGAGTCTGGGTGGTATTCTTTCCAGGCTTGAGATGTGGCTGCCTGCAGGGTGTGCCTGTGAGTGCAGTGCCCGGGCGCCCTCAAGGCTCATCCCAGGCCGGCCCTCCAGGCCTGCCCCAGCGTCGTGGGGGCGGCTCCGAGCCCGTTTCACGCAGCGTGCCACCAGTGAGGCAGGAGGTGCTCGGCTCCACCTTGTGGCACAATCCGCCGACAAGCGCCCAGGGTGGTTTGGGCACCGGTGTGGGCAGACACGTTGAGGCCCCGCTGCCCTGTAAGTTTGTAACGGGCGTTTGGTTTCTTTCTTTCCAGACCATGGACCGCGAGTTCAGGAAGTGGATGAAATGGTATGGAAAAAAGCATGCAGAATACACAGTGAGTGCCATCGCTCCGCCCCTCCCATCACTGGCCCCGTCCCCGCCCCGCCCCCTTCCAGCCCCTCCTTTCTGACCACTGTTGGCACGTGGCTGTTGGCACATGGTGCCCCCTGTGGAGTCCTCTCTGGTTGTCGTAGGGCTGCCTGGGCATGGCACCTCTGTTGGCGCCATCCCTCTTGTTCTCTCTGATATGGCCTCTGTCCCTTGGCAGCCTGTGGTGCACAGAGGTGGTGCAGGAAACGGGCTTGGGGCTCTACGGAGCGGAGGCCTGTGGGGCCGGCCAGGTTGTAGGTCGGCTGCAGCGTCCTTGGGGTGTCATGCCTCACTGAGGACAGCGTTGTTTGGACGGGTTCCTGGTCCTCGGTGCCATGTTCTTCATGACAAGCCCGCGACCTTGGGGTGGGCAGTGTTCTCTCTGCCCTTGCCAAGGAAGCTGTTCCTCCCGCGATCCTGTGGATGGTGCCTGCATGTGGCTGGCCTCTGTGGGGTTTCTCCCGTGGACCCTGTGGATAGTGCCCGCATGTGGCCGGTCCCTGTGGGGCATGCGCTCCTTGTTCTATGTCTGGCTGAGTGGCGGTGGGAAGAGGATGCTCTTTAGAGAGCAGGAAGGTTGGTTTTCCCGGTCCATGGGGTGATTACTGGGCCAGAGCTTCCAGGAGCAGCTGCCACTCTTGCGTCGTCCTCAGACCTCTTCCCAGCCCATGCTGAGTCCTTAGACCCCAGGCTCCGCCCTGGACCTTTCCACACAGCGGCTGGCTTGCAGAACTGGCTCCTTCCTCCACCTGTGTTCTCTCCCTCCCAGTCCTGGTCGCTCAGGCACTCACCTGTGGTGTGGGCTGACAGCGCCCAGCCTCTCAGCAACGCCCTTGACCTGCGGATTCCATCCGTGCCACGCCCTCGTGCGGTATGGCTTGGTGCTGGTGACCTGTGGATTCCATCCGTGCCATGCCCCCGTGCGGTATGGCTTGGTGCTGCTGCAGCTGCTCCTGTGATGTGGATTGGTGGCAGGTTGGAGTCTGGAGGCTGCGGGAAGGAGGATGCTTCCTGCTCTAGACCTGGAGCCCCTGGAGCACAGGGCAGCCCCAGAGCCTGTAGCCCCTCGAATCCCCAGGAGCCTCCCTGAGAAGTTGGAAGGAGTGCTGGGCAGGGCGAGTACCGGGTCACCACCTTGGGAGGAGATGGCCCAGGGGTTTAACTGCCCACAGAGCAGCTTATGATGGAATGTGGCAAGGCCTGATCTCAGGTGGCCCTGATGACAGTTCCCGGGTGGAATCTGCAGGTTTGCAGAAGCAGCAGAATCAGACTCCCCAGGGGTCCTGTTGTCCATCGATTTTCTCAGTTCAGAGGGATGCCTGATGGACACAGGCGGCTTACAGGTCCAGCCCCCTGCCTGGCAGGGCTGCCCAGTGTCTGCCTCTCTGCCGGGTGGGTGGAGGCATGGCTGGGGCTGTCTGTTGGGAGCTCCCTGCTGAGGTACCCTCTGTGGGCCTGTCTGTTGGGCCTCCCTCAGATCGCTGTGAGGCCTCGGCCTTCCTGCCATTGCCACCACCTCACAGGGAGAAGGAGGCATTGAGCGGGTGAGTGGGTATGTGTCCTGCCCAGTGTGTGCCCCGGCACCCAGCTCAGACCCCTCCACACTATCCCCTAGCACAAGTGAAGGCTAGAGTCAGGGCACTGGGACCCGACCCCTGGTGTACCTGACCAGGATCAGGAGCCTTTGCTGGCTGGTTCTGCCCCAGGTTTCCTGGCTGTGGTGGTCGGAGCAGATCCACCTGGGTGGGGAAACGGATGCATGGTCCAGGCGTGTCTGTTTTCGCTGCGGGGCTGACACGGGCTCTGGTGGCAGGGACACCGGGGTCAGGCAGTGTCCCTGTTTGCCTCCTCAGGGAGGGAGTTGGCTGGAAACATTTTTAGAGGCAGGGCTCCCCGGTCCTCCAGGCTGGAGTGCAGTGTTGTGATCGTAGTTCATTGCAGCTGTGAACTCCTGGGCTCCAGCGATCCTCCCACCTCATCCTCCTGAGTAACTGGGACTGTAGCCATTAACCACCACTCCTGGCTAATTAAAAAAAAATTGGGTCATACCTGTAATCCCAGCACTTCAGGAGGCTGAGGCCAGGTGGATCACTGAGGTCAGGTAGATCACTAAGGTCAGGAACTCAAGACCAGCTTGGCTATCATGCTGAAACCCTGTCTCTACTAAAAATACAAAACTGGTTGGGCATGGTGGTGCACGTCTGTAGTCCCAGCTATGTGGGAGGCTGAGGCAGAAGAATCATTTGAACCTGGGGAGCGGAGGCTACAGTGAGCCGAGATCGTGCCACTGCTCTCTGCCTTGGGCGATAGAGCCAGACTCCATCTCACCAAAAAATAAATAAATAAATAAATAAATAAACAAACAAACAAACAAACATACCAACGGAGTCTCACTGTGTTGGCCAGGTTGGCCTCAAACTCCTGGGTTCAAGCGATCCTCCTACCTTGGCCTCCTTAAAGTGCTGGGATGACAGGCGTGAGCGTGCTCAGCTGCCCCTGTCTTTTTTTTTTTTTTCCCCGAGACGGAGTTTCGCTCTTGTTACCCAGGCTGGAGTGCAATGGCGCGATCTCGGCTCACCGCAACCTCCGCCTCCTGGGTTCAGGCAATTCTCCTGCCTCAGCCTCCCGAGTAGCTGGGATTACAGGCACACGCCGCCATGCCTAGCTAATTTTTTGTATTTTTTTAGTAGAGACGGGGTTTCACCATGTTCACCAGGATGGTCTCGATCTCTTGACCTCGTGATCCACCCGCCTCGGCCTCCCAAAGTGCTGGGATTACAGGCTTGAGCCACCGCATCCAGCCTGCCCCTATGTCTTCTTGGGGCTTGACACCCCATTTCTTTCTTTTTTTTTTTTTTGAGACAGAGTTTCGCTCTTGTTGCCCAGTCTGGAGTGCAATGGCGCGATCTCAGCTCACCGCAACTTCTGCCTCCTGGGTTCAGGCAGTTCTCCTGCCTCAGCCTCCTGAGTAGCTGGGATTACAGGCACGCGCCACCATGCCCAACTAATTTTTAGTATTTTTAGTAGAGACGGGGTTTCACCATGTTGACCAGGATGGTCTCGATCTCTTGACTTTGTGATCCACCCGCCTCAGCCTCCCAAAGTGCTGGGATTACAGGCTTGAGCCACCACGCCCGGCTCAACACCCCATTTCTTTTCATTGCTGCATAGTATTCCATAGTCTGGATATGCCACAGTTAATTCACCCACTTACTTGCTGAGGACATCTTGGCTGCTTCCGTGATTTGGCGGTTATGAACAACACCGCCGTAAAGATCCGTGCGTCGGTTTCTGTGTGGACGTAAGAGCTGCACTCCTGTGGGCAGAGAGCAAGCAGCACGATTGCTGGATCGTGTGGAGAACACTGCCAGACTGCCTCTCAGTGTGTCTGTACGAGCTGCGTCACCCCCAGCAGTGAACAGGAGCTCCTGCTGCCCCAGGTTCTGGCCAGCACCTGGGAGGTCACTGATGCTTTATCTGCAGCCCTGCTGTGACGTGGGTCCTCGAGTTCTTGTCGATTCCTGGGGGTTTTCTGCGTTGACGGTTGTGTTGTCGGCGAGCATGGACCACTTTGCCTTTTCCTTCACAGCCCGTGTCCATTTCCTCCCCCTTTCCCGTCCCCTCGTGCTGGCTGGCATTTCCCAGGCAATGTGAGTTGTCGGGGCAAGACGGTTACCCTTCCCTGCACTGCTCCTGGTGGGCAGCTGAGCCCCTGGCTGCGGAGCGCCGTGGTAGTGGCCGGCTTGTGTGGACGGTCTTCGTCAGGTGGGTGACGCGCCCTCGGCCCCGAGTTTGCGGTGTGTGCTGGTTTGGTGCTGTTTCTGGTGTCGGCTCGATGCCGTGCTTTCCATTCCTCACCCGGTTGCTGTGATGGGTTTCAAGTGTTGGCTTGGCCTCCGTCAGCCTGGAATACATCCCCTTCGATGGGCCTGGGATCCTGTGTATCCGAGGCGGGATTCTGCTGGCTGATGCTCCGCTGAGGGGTTTTCTGCCGGGCCGGAGCCGTGGTCTGCAGTGCTCCCTCGCAGACGCGCCTGGCTGGTTTGGCCTCCAGGTGGCGCTCCCTCGGCTTCTGTTCCACTGTTCTTTGCTTTGATTGGGACTTGCACCCTCAGCGCTGTGGGCCCAGCTCTCCTTCCCTTTCTCGTGGTGGTTGTTCCGGAGTCCCCTGCCCTCTGCGGAAGCTGTGTGGTGCCGTGGGCCCTGTGTCCACCTGCACTCTGGTGGGAAGTTCCCCCATGGGTTCTTGGCTGTGGCAGGAGAGCCACGCAGGTCCTGGCACAGAGGGTGAAAACCCTCACCATGGTTTCCGGTGACAGCCAGGGGGCCCCACGGTGCCTTCCTCCGTGAGGTCAGGCTGGGCTGTGCCTTGCTTAGGAAAGGATAGGTGTGAGGTGGTGGGGCCACCCCGACACTGCTCCCCCTCCTGCCTCATGTTGTCATCGTTGGGATCAGCGCCCCACCCGCTGGGGCCTGGGTCCCCGACATGGCTGAGGCGCGTGTCTCGTGTGGCGCAGGCACTCCTGGCGTGGAGCTGCTTTTCTGGTCAGGATTCCATGCATGTTTTAGGTGTGTGTGGTCATGCCAGCGGCTCCTGAGGTGTGCCAGGAACATGATTTGGGGGAAAGGATGGCATTCCTCATGGCTTGGGCAACACTCCTCAGAACCTGGTGGTAGGGAAGGCGGGTGTCAGCGTCGGCCTCTGCCTCTGGCATCTGTCCTGCTGCGGAGGGTGGGTCAGAGAGGCTCTGCCTGACCACTTGGTGCCCTTTTTGGTGGGCACTTCACTCCGATGTTGGAAGAAACCCTTGGAGGGGCTTGGCCGTGTTCTGCTTGACAGGCTCCAGGTCCTACTACCTGAAGCACTGTCACAGGAAGGCTCCCGGAAGACCCAGCTACCCAGTTCCTATGGGGATCGCGGACTCCAGAGGGAAGCAGCGCTTGCCCGGGAGCCACGGTGCTTGCAGGAGCAGCTTTGGCTCCAGAGCCTCTGGTCATTGAGCATGGGGGTCCCAGGGCAGGTTTCTGGTCCCAGGCCTGCGATGTGGGCCTGGATCTGCTTGGTGCTGCTAAGGACTTGGAATTTGAATTATTTCCTCGGTGGCTGGTCCACGGGGAATGAGGGGTGTTGAGAGGGTCAGTCCGTCAGATGTGGAGAGGGAGGAGATGGGCGTGGAGGGCGGCTCAGGAGGGCGGCTCAGGAGGGCCAGCCTGTGCCCCTCCCATCCCGTCCCCTCCTTCCTGGGGCTTTCCCGGCCCTGGAGAGTGGAGGACGTGCAGCTGCTCCTGGCCGGGGCGGGCAGCCCTGTCCTCTGGATCTGGGTCTGCATGGACGGGTGGCCCTGTCCTCCCAGCCTGGGGTGTGTCCTTCTGTCTCTGGGCCTGGATGGGTGGGTCACCCTGTTGCTTGGGGCAAAGGCTTGCTTGTGGGACCTTCTCTGCTCAGGGACTCCCTCCCCATCCTGAGAGAGACTCTGGGTGGGGCACCAGGCCTGTGGCTGCGGTATAAAAAGGAGTGTCCTTTGTCCTCCCTCGGCCCTTGGGTTCAGGCATGGGCTTCTACCCTGACTGAGGTGCCCTCACCCCCAACTTCTCCAGTCCCCAGCAGGAATCCCCTTCCTGTCTCTGGGTGGGCCTGTCCTGGACATTTCACAGAAATGGGATCACACACTGTCCTCAAGGTGCATCCGTGCTGTGGCTGGGTCGGTGCCTGGCTCCTGCTCCCGGCCGGGTCCCGTCCCAGCGTGTGGATGGCCATGCGGTGCTGTGTTGGTCTTTCAGCTGCTGATGGACAGCTGGCTGCTTCGGCCTTCTGGCTGTGGCAGGTGGTGTTGGCTTTTGCAGGATTTGTGTCCGGGCCTTTGCTTGGACGTGTTTTTGTCTCTCCTGGGTGTGTTACCTGGGAACGGAGGTGGTAGTGTCTTTGAAGGATTTAAAAGGAGGTGTCTTGGTTGTCCAGGTGCTTGGACAGCTAGGGTGATAAGAGCTTTTTTCTCCTGGACGGTGCTTGGTCTTGAGGTCTGGAGGTAGGCTGGCATTGGGCTGCCGCTGGCCTTGGTATGAGCGTGGCATGGAGCTGTGGGGACAGCGCTGCTCTTACTGGGCCATCGGTGCTCAGGGCAGATGCCCATGGGGACAGGTGGCTCAGCTTCCCCATGCGCGTGTTTCCTGTGGTTGCTGAGGAGGGACAGAGCTCGGCGTGGGGCTTTCCCGGCCTCGCCGTGTTGCTGCCTGTTGCGCAGGGTGCCCGCCCCCAGCACCCCCAGCCTCCCTCAGGCCCTACCTGGAACCCAGCATGGTGGAGACTGCAGGTCCTGCCTCAGGGCGCCCCTGCTGGCCGCCTCCTGTCCTCTGATTTGGAGGAGCCTGCAGTGTGTGGCCTGTAGGTGTGTGTGGGTGTGGCCGCAGTCACCTTTGCCGGGCCTGGCCTCCCTCAGTGGATGCTGGAGCACGGGGACCTGTCCCGGCTTCTCGGGAGGCCCTGCCTGTCCTCTGCGTGTCCCTCTCACCTGCCCTCTGCCTGCAGCTCCCAGGGCTGCGCTGACAGCACCGGGTCTCCTGCTCCTCCCTGCGAGCGGAGCTGGACTCATTCCATTCTTTTCTTCACAGCGGCTGGGCGGTCTGGGGTGTCCAGGAGATGGGCGTCCACGCTCACGCCTGTCCTCTCTTTCAGTTGGAGAGAGGCGATTTCCTCTCGGAAGAGTGGAGGGAGCGAATTGCCAACACGAGGTATGGCCGGCATGGGGTGTGCAGGGCATGTGGGGTGCGCTCATGGGCGGTCGGGGGCCATGGCACTGGGGACCAGGGACGGGCCCTCTCTTCTGCACTGATTGTGGCAGAAAAGAGGTCGGCGGGGACAGCAGGGGCACCTTTCCCTCACACTGGGTCCCTGTGAGCCTGCAAAGCAGATGTGCCCGGCGGGTGGGGCCCTCAGAGTCCCAGCAGCCCCTGTCGGCATGAGCCTGCTCCCGCTGCCTGGCCCCTTGACTTCAGGACACTGTGGGCCCCTCTCGCCTGGGTCCTGGGCTTCCTCCCCACTCAGGCATGGTCTGGGGGTCTTCCTGTCTCTCTGTCTGTGCATCCTGAAGTAGCTGTCACCCATACAATGGAATGAGTGGTGCTGGAGGGAGCGGCCCCTCCTGATCCCAAGCCATCCCTGCCCGGCCCGGGCTTGCCCCTCTGCTCCCTCACACCTGGGCCCGGGAGCTCAGGGCACTGTCCAGGTCTGTTCCCACCGCCGCCTGTTTGTCCTGGTAGCTGGTGGCGGCTGGCTCTGTGGGAGTGAGCTGGGCCACTGTGCTCTCCACCAGGCAGCCTGTGTATGGCTATGGTGCCCCACTGTATCCACCAGGGACCCTAGAGGTCCAAAGGCGCTTGTGGGGGATGCTGGGGAGGTGGGGTCAGCAGCTGGCCAGGCCCTGTTCCCCAAGTCCCGCCATCCTCCCTGCCCCCCTCGTCCTCCCTGCCCCCCTCTTCCTTCCCACTGCCTCGCTTCTTCTGTCTTCCGTGTGTCCCCCTTCCTCCTGAGTGTGCTCGTGGCTTGTGGTTGAGTGTCCCCCATGGACAGGGTTTTGGGTATAAGTAGAAAATGAGGGTTTCTTGGCCAGGCATGGTGGCTCACGCCTGTGATCCCAGCACTTTGGGAGGCCAAGGTGGACAGATCATGAGGTCAGAGATCAAGGCCATTCTGATTAACATGGTGTAAAACTCTGTCTCTACTACAAATACAAAAATTAGCTGGGTGTAGGGTACGTGCCTTTAATTCCAGCTACTCGGAAGGCTGAGGGAGAATCGTTTGAACCCAAGAGGCGGAGGTTGCAGTGAGTCCAGAATGCGCCACTGCACTACATCCTGGCAACGGAGTGAGACTCCATCTCAAAAAACAAAAAAGGCTGGGTGCAGGGGCTCACGCCTGTAATCCCAACACTTTGAGAGGCCGAGGCGGGCGGATCACCTGAGGTTGGGAGTTTGAGGGCAGCCCAACCAACATGGAGAAACTCTGTCTCTACTAAACATAAAAAATGAGCCGGGCATGGTGGCACATGCCTGTAATACCAGCTACTCAGGAGGCTGAGGCCAGAGAATTGCTTGAACCCGGGAGGTGGAGGTTGCGGTGAGCCGAGATCTTGCCATTGCATTCCAGCCTCGGTAACAAGAGCGAAACTGTCTCAAAAACAAAAACAAAACCAATCAAAAGAAAATAGGAGTTTCTTTTCCCAAAAGTTTCCTGGGTTTGCTGTTTTGTGTGAACTTGCTTTGGGTTGGGGCACTGTGCCCGCCGACGGGTGTTCTGCCCTCTGGAGGGAGTCGTGCTGACCCTGCGGTGTCCCCATCCCGTGGGGCTGTGGTGGGAGCGCAGGGCGATCCACAGTCAGGCCGTGATTGCTGTTTTGTAAGAAAGTCTGGAGAAGTCAAGAGGTTTCCTGGCATCCCATTGACATCTGGGCTCGGCCCGGACTCTCACAGTTCCTCTCCAGGAGCTGCCACTCACTGCCTTATCCGGCAGCCCCGGCCCTGGGCTCAGCCCTCTCTAGCTCCAGGCAAAGTGTGCAGGCCTTGACCAGGAGGGGTCCCTACCCCAGGCTGCCCACTGGTTACAGGACCTTGTACTCTGTCTGGCCTCAGCCTGTTTTCCCTTACCCGTGTCTGACCCGAGATGGCGGTGGCTGTGGAGGTGGCCTCGTGGAGCATCCTTCTCTGAACACCAGGTTCCCCCGGTGTTTCTGGCTCGTGCCTCTCACCTGCCTTGGCCACCTGAGCTCAGTCAGCTTCACTTCTAGCCTTCCTAAGTTCAGTCCTGAGTGAGGATACAGGGCCCCACGACCGTCATTTGGGGACAGTGGTCTGGGAGAGCAATGCTGGGCCTGGAAGGGAGCCGTTGGTTCCCCCGTCATTGCCAGGGTGTCTGAAACGCTGCGAGGACGCCTCGTCCGGGCCCACCGTCCGCAGTCTCTACAGCAGTTGAGTGGGAGCCTCTGCTTTGCACTCTCTGTTGCAGGGTAGCCCCTGCTGGGCCTCTGCTCCTGGCCACCGCCTTCTTCCCTCAGCCTGTGGGTTCGTCACGGCTGCTCTTCCCACCCCGTGAACCTTCCCCAACCGCTGGACTCCAAAACCACCGAGATTCGAAACAAGTGACTTGGCCACGAAGCCTGCCCCCTCTGATTTCAACTCCATTCAAAAGAGGCCGAATTTGCCTTTTCCTTGCACCTGAAACCTACACCATGAGTTCGGCCGCGTGGGCTCGGCCTTGTGAGCTCAGCTGCGTGGGCTCGGCCTTGTGAGCTAGGTCGTGCGGGCTCAACTGCGTGGTCTTGGCTGCGTGGGCTCAGCTCTGGAGGTGGCGGGCGGGTGTGGGCAGGGCCTGGCGCTGGCAGCAGTAGCTGCTGGCTGCGCCCGTGAGCCGAGCTTTCATGACACTGAACTGGAGTATTGTTTTGCAGTGTTATATTTGTGAATAACTTTGCCTTTGGTCCTGAGGTGGATCACCAGCTGAAGGAGCGGTTTGCAAACATGAAGGAAGGTAAGGCGCCCTCCTCGTTGGTCCGTGTTGTGACATGGTTGAGGAAGGGTGGCCTGGGGGTCCCCGCAGGGTGTCCTGCAGAAGGCAGCTCAGACTTGGGGTCCTTAGTCCCCCAGGAGCCAGGCGTTCTTTCTTCATTCTTTTTTTTCTTTTTTTCTTGACACAGTCTTGCTCGGTCACCCAGGCTGGAGTGCAGTGACATAATCTTGGTTCACTGCAGCCTTTGCCTCCCAGGTTCAAGCGTTTCTCCTGCCTCAGCATCCCAAGTAGCTGGGACTACAGGTGTGCACCACCACGTCCAGCTAATTTTTGTTTTTATTTTACTTTATCTTTCATTTTTTGAAACGGAGTCTCACTGTATCCCCCAGGCTGGAGGGCAGTGGTATAATCTCAGCTCACTGCAACCTCTGCCTCCTGGCTTCAAGCAATTCTCCTGCCTAAGCCTCCCGAGTAGCTGGGATTACAGGTGCCCACCACCACACCCGGCTAATTATTGTATTTTTGGTAGTGATGAGGTTTCACCATGTTGGCCAGGCTGGTCTCGAACTCCTAACCTCAGGTGATCCGCCTGCCTCGGCCTCCCAAAGTGCTGGGATTACAGGCGTCAGCCACTGCGCCTGGCGCTGGAAGCTTCTTGAGTTGAGCCTGCAACTCGCTTAAGGCCAGCTGACCACCGAGGGGCAATAGTCCCCTTTATTCTTGACCCAAGCACGTGGTGCTCGGCATTCATACTGAGCAGGAGTGAGGCTCTCAGGTGTTCTATTTTCTCCCTCTGGGGAAAGGTCGCCAGGCCCGTGCAGAGCCCTTGACACTGTGTTCTGAACCTCAGGCCCTGGCGTAGTTTCAGGAGCAGCCAACTGAACCTGCTGCCTGGATTCCAGTCTTGCAGACCAGGGTGGGACCCAGACCACAATGTGTGGACTGCCCCTTCCCCTAAACATGGAGACTGAGCGTGCCGTTGCTCCCTAGCCCCCGCCAGCCCTCTGGCAGGACGCAGGGCAGGCTTGGGGTCGTTTTGAGGAGATTGCGCTGCCTCCCTCCCAGGCTCTTTGCCAAGCCCTGCAGAAGCGTCACCTCATATTGTACTGGGAGACGTGGCTTCCACAGCCACCGCTGGGCTCGGAGACGGGCGCTCTGGGGGTGCCCCCTCTCTCTTCCGACTGCTTCCCAGCCCTCCACTCCAGGGAGACCTCCAGAGGCCAGGGAAGAAAGGAGGTCTCCCTGGAGTGAGGGAGGTCTTCCAAACAAAACCCAGAGGGTCCGTGGCTGCCTTCAGCACTGCCCCACGGCCATGGGGGTTTGAGGGGTGCTTGTGTGCCTGTGTCTGTGCATGCCTGTGTCTGTGTCTGTGTGTGTGTGCGCCTGTGTGCCTGCCTGTCTGCGCATGCCTGCGTCTGCATGTCTGTGCCTGTGTGCATGCCTCTGTGTCGGTGTGCATGCTGGCGTGTGTGCGCGCCCCGTGCCTCTGTGTCTGCGTACGTGTCTGCTTGTGTGTCTGTGTGCATGCAGGCCTGCGTGTCTCTGTGTGCGTCTGTGTGCCTTGCGAGTTTATTTGCATATCTGTGTGTGTGCGCGTGTGGCGATGGTGTTTCTGAATTCTCTTAGAGCTCCACGAGGACACCATGCTTTCCCGCCCAGTTACTCCCACACCTCAGGAACGCTCCAGCCTCCCTGAACCCTGCGGCCCCATGCGGAAAGGCAGCCTTGGCTTCCTCAGCTCCTGTCACCTCCTCTGTGGTTTCCATCCCCGCTGCCCTAGAATGCTTCTTTCGGCTGTATCTTGCCAGCTTTCTCTGCATGCTCAGCCGCAGTGGCTTGGTCAGGGTACTGCGGTGGTGTCTCCTGTCCGGACCCTCCCCCGAGGGGCTCTGATCACCCTACACGTGCCCGTGAGCACCTGTCAGCCTGGCTCTGCAGCCATTAGTTGTGACCCCGCTCATGTCTGAGGTCCTGTCTTAGGGATCCTGGCATAACCTGTGTGTGTAGCCTGGCCCTGGAATCACCCTTCCTGCTTCTCCCGAAGGGAGTGGCGCCTGCAAAGCCAGGCCTTGGCCGGCTCGGCGTCCAGGAGAGTAGAGCTGCAGAGCTGTGAGGGGCTCTGCGTGCGCCTGTACGTGTGGATCCGTTTTGACTTTTCCAACTCAGATGTCGTGTTATTTTCTTTATATGTACAGAAACAGAGACTGTTTCTTTCAACACTGCAGAGTTTGGCTCCTAAGAGCATTAGCACGAGGTTCTCCCTGCAGCACACACGAGCTAGCCCCAGAGCGACTGTCCACAGTGGCCCTGGCACCCCGCAGCAGCCTTGCAGAGGGAGGCTGCAGGCTTCCTTCCAGCCTGTCTGCACCTGTTGCTGACAGGACAGTTCGAATCCCTCGGGTTAGAGGTATTGGAAGGAATGCTTCTGCATGGCTGGCGACAGTTGATATCCACAGTTGGGTTCTGTTCCTGTTTCTGTACGTCTTGGGGGTTTGCCCTTCTTCCTGCCTCTCAGACCTAGGTTTTTTGTTTTTGTTGGTTTTTTTTTTTTGAGACATGGTCTCCATCCTTGGCCCACGCTGGAGTGCAGTGGTGTGATCATAGCTCCCTGCAGCCTTGGCCTCTGGGCTCAAGTGATCTTTCTGCCTCAGCCTCCCAAGTAGCCAGGATCACAGACCTGCACCACCATGCCCAGCTAATTTTTAATTTTAATTTTTTTGTAAACATGGGGTCTCTCTGTGTTGCCCAGGCTGGTCTGGACCTTCCCAGCCAGTCTCTCTGCCATCTCCCGTAGTGCTGGGTTTACAGGTGTGAGCCTCTGCGCCTGGCAGCACAGTGTCGGCTGGCCTTGCCTTCCTCACTTAACAGGAGATCCCGGGAATCACGCCGGACAGCGTGGGCTCCTTTTCTGGCCACATCTCGTAGCGGTGGCTGCCCAGGCACTTCTGCAGCCGAGTCCCCAGCCAGGCCGAGTCACCCCCGCTTCAGGAGGCTCCTCTGTAGAGCCCACTCCACCCGGGGAGATGCTGGCTCAGGGTTCAGGCTGCTGGGACTTTTGTGAGGACTTGAAAATTTTTATTTTTGAGATGGAGTCTTGTTTTGTTGTTCAGGCTAGAGTGCAATGGTGCGATCCAGCTGACTGCAACGTCTGCCTCCTGGGTTCAGGAGATTCTCCTGTCTACCCTCCTGAGTAGCTGGGATTACAGGTGTGCGCCACCACGCCTGGCTAACTTTCTTGTATTTGTGGTAGAGACAGGGTCTCACCATGTTGCTAAGGCTGGTGTTGAACTCCTGACCTCAGGTGATTTACCTGCCTAGGCTTCCCAAAGTGTTGGGGTTATAGGCGTGAGCCATTGCGCCCAGCTGAGAAGGTTTTTTAAAGAAACGTTATTTGTAGGAGACCAGGCGCAGTGGATCACTTGAGGCCAGGAGTGCCAGACCAGCTTGGCCAACATGGTGAAACCCTGTCTCTACTAAAAAAAACCCAAAAATTGGCCAGGTGCAGTGGCACATGCCTGTAATCCCAGCGCTTTGGGAGGCCAAGGGCAGGCAGATCACGAGGTCAGGAGATTGAGACCATCCTGGTCAACATGGAGAAACCTGTTTCTACTAAAAATACAAAATTAGTTGGGCGTGGTGGTGCATGCCTGTAGTCTCAGCAGGGGAATCGCTTGAACCAGGGAGGCAGAGGTTACAGTGAGCCCAGAGACTCTGTCTCCATTAAAAAAAAAGTTCCTTGTAGGATAGGCTTAAGCTTGGAAGGTGTTCCATAGTTTTGCTTGTAGGCAGGTGGACGGGACTCGGAGCGCAGTGTGTGCGTGCGTCTGTGTGTGTTCTGTGGCGTCATTCCTTCTCTGTCACCTTGATTGGTGTCTGCACTTCCGTTTCCTCTCCCCTGTGTGGCAGTAAGCAGCGTCTGTGTTTCAGGTGGCAGAATCGTGTCCTCGAAACCCTTTGCACCTCTAAACTTCAGAATAAACAGTAGAAACTTGAGTGGTAAGGAGCTTTCCCGTTGTTAATTACTAACATGGGTGATTCTAAGCATCTGACACGCCTTATTCCCAGGTCCCTCCCCCTCGGCCCCGTGGACATTGAGGCTGGATCCTTTTATGGGGTGGGGCCATCCTGGGCACTGCCGGGTGCTGAGCGACGTCCCTGGCCTCCACCCACTTTATGCCGGAAGCACCCTGGTCATGACAACCACAAATGTCCCCAGACAGCACTGTGTGTCCTGGGGGCCGGAGTCACACCTGGGGGAGGCCTGTGGCTTCGAGGGGAGGAGTGAAGGATTTAAGGTACTCTTGCGGACAGGGACGGCCCCTCGGGGGAAAGTAGCTGTAGCCGGCCCCTCCTGCGCCCCCTGCCAGCCTCGTGCATGGCGTGCTCTGTCGGGTCCTGGTCCCTGTCCCTGAGGAGTGCCTGCCCGGGAGCTGCCTGTGTTGCTGGGTGCTGGCCAGGTGCAGCCACCATCTAAGTTGCCTCCAGATCACCTCCCCCTCCTTTCCCATTCCACTCAGCTGGGCTTGTGGCCGTTCTTCTGAGGCTAGAGGTGCCCAGGCCAGGTGCTGCTCCAGGGTGTGCCTCCCTGGCCCGGCAGTTGAGGCGGCCTCCCTGGGCCGCTGTGGCCTGACTCAGTGTGGGAGCAGAGGGAGGACGTGTGCAGCTCAGGGTTCTATCCCCTGGCTCGCCCTTGGTGGGTGAGGTGGGCGTCGAGGGGCTGCGGGCGGGCTGGGGCCTCACCTTGGTCTGTGGCTCCCACAGACATCGGCACCATCATGCGTGTGGTGGAGCTGTCGCCCCTCAAGGGCTCGGTGTCGTGGACGGGGAAGCCAGTCTCGTACTACCTGCACACTATCGACCGCACCATAGTGAGTATCCGGCCCCACCCCGGCCGCAGGGCCGCCCTCGCCTCCCCCCAACCGCGTCGCACCTCCCGCCTTCTCACGGGCCTCTGAGACCCTCACCCCAGAGCCCCGAATGCCCCGCGCCTGCCGCCCCGAGCCCGGGCCCAGCTGCTCAAGGACTCTTGGCACTGCTGGCACCGCAGGACCCGTGAGGTTCTCCCAGCCACCGGGCATGTCGTGGGTGAGGGCTGAGCCCTTGTCTGCTCCCAGCCCCTGGGGTAGGGTGGTGCCATGGCAGATGCGTGGCCGTAAGGGTCCTGGCCACCACATCCAGAGGCCCCTGTGAACGGGAATCCCACGTCCGTTTCCCAGTTCCTTCGATGTCAGAGGGTCCAGTTGGTGGAGACGCTAGGGTCCATGGGTGGGGGCTGGGGTGCCTCTTCCCTCCCTGTGCTTCCCGGTGTCCTCTGATGCGGCCCTGGGCCAGCATGGGGCCTGCCTCCCTCTCATGGTGCTTCCCCGACGGCCCCTTTGCGCGGGTTCCCCGAGCCTCCTGTCGAGGAAGGTGTGGCCCTCGACGCTGGGAGGCTTTCCCTGGTCTCTTTCCCGTCCTTTGGTTGGGCACTGAGTTTCTGTTTTTTTTGGGGTCTCGGTGGTTTTCCTCACTGTGGTGCTGGTGTGTCCAGACCCTCACTGTCGGGTGCTTGGAGCCTCCACCTCGGCCTTCCTGGGGAGCACTGATGCAGCCTCGGGCCAACTGCCCTGGGCAGATGCACCCCGCCCCTCCCACTGCTCCCCTGAGGGCCCTGGGACGAGAGGCAAGGTGAGCGGAGGTTGAGGCTCTGGGGGCTGTGCCCCCCGTGCGCCCCCCCCCCAACCCCGGCAGTGCTGCTCAGCTCGGCCCCTCGCCTTCCTGGGAGGCGGGTGCGGTGTGTCAGTGCACCCTCTTCCAGAACTCACATCCCAGGCCTATGTCCGTCCTGATGGCTTAAAGCAGCCCCACCCCAGCTGGCGTGTGCTGGTGAATTGGGGGTGATGTCTGGCCATAGCTGGGTCAGTCACATCTGAGTTTGCTGCCGGGGGCTCCAGCTGCATGCCTGGTGTCCCCAGGTACCAGAACAGCCTGCCCCGCTCTCTGAGGAGCGGATGTTACCTGGGTGTCCAGGCAAATCCGAGCAGAGATTGGGACTCCCTTCTAATGAGGTTTCTCTTTCTTCTTTTTAGCTTGAAAACTATTTTTCTAGTCTGAAAAACCCAAAACTCAGGGTAAGTTTGTGTATTTTCTCCGACGTGGGAGAGGCAGAGCGCGTGGTGGGTTCCCAAGCCGTGATGAGCGCAGCCCTGCCCCCTCCCGCCACTCCTTCCGTCCTCCCCGGCCTCCTCCCACCTTTCCCCCGCTTCTCTCTCCCCATTGAGCCTCTGTCTCTGTGCTTTGCCTTGTCTTTGATGGTCTGGCCTGGGCCATCCTTTTCCTTGTTGATACCCATTTTGGGGGAGGTGGCTGGGTTAGTTCTGGCGATGGGGTGAGTTGCACTACAGGGCTGGGTGGTGAATGGCCTGTGCGCTCTGCTGGCCGCTTTCTCGTGAGGCCTGGGGGGGCCGCACGTTGCACTTGTACCCCCTCGATGTCGAGTACCGCTCCCGTGCCGCCACCACTCTGCGCTTCTGAGGCAGGCTGTTCCCCCCTTTTGCATTGGTGCGAAGCCTGTCTTGGGAGCTGCAGTGACGGCCCTGCCACTGGTGCTTCTGCAGCTTCAGACTCACCTGCTTATTTGCCGCCAAAGCTGAGAGGCTATTTGTCCAAGCGTCCTTTCCTTTTGGAGGGTCAGAGGAGATCAGTGTGCGGAGAACCCCACCCACAAACAGCTGTGTCACTACCTGGACTTGTAGCTGGGCCTGGGCCGTAACCTGGCCTCAGAGCGTGGTACCCCTTGGGGGTCCCGTGTCCTGCCCACTGTGCTCAGGGGGATGCAAGTCTTCTCTGGAGAGCAGGGAACAGCCCAAGGTGGCTGGTGCGTCCTGTGTTCTCCCCGTGTGTCACAGCATCCCACGCGTGGGCGTTGGCGCCTTTCACTGAGAGGAGAGAGGGCAGGGGAGGCTGTGGGCTGCGGCTGCTGGGTCCTGCTGCCTGAGGCTCCTCTCGTCTCGTTTCTTGGATGTGGCTCTTTCTCTCCGTGGCCCACAGTCAGACCTCTTACTGACGGGGGTGTGTGATCCTGGGAGTGGCTGTGAATACAGTCATCTGTGTCCATGGGTCACGTCCTGGCCTATGGGGCCCCAGGTAGCCCACTGCTGTCTCTGGGCCTCAGCTTAGAGTTGGGCCTGTGGCCCCCTCGAGTCTGAGCTCCGCGTGCCCCTGGGTGCAGGAGGGCTGTGGGCAGTACCGGGGCTCCCCGGGGCTCACTTACTCTCCTTCCAGGAGGAACAGGAGGCAGCCCGGCGCCGCCAGCAGCGCGAGAGCAAGAGCAGCGCGGCCACGCCCACCAAGGGTCCCGAGGGCAAGGCGGCCGGCCCTGCCGAGGCCCCCATGGTGAGCCTCACCTGCCACCGCCGCTGGAGGGCACTGCCCTGACGTGGGAGACCCCATCGGTGGGAGGCTTTGCGCTCACCCCTCCCCTCCCCGTGGGTCCTCCAGGACTCTGGTGCTGAGGAAGAGAAGGCGGGAGCAGCCACCGTGAAGAAGCCGTCTCCCTCCAAGGCCCGCAAGAAGAAGCTGAACAAGAAGGGGAGGAAGATGGCCGGCCGCAAACGTGGGCGCCCCAAGAAGATGAACACTGCGAACCCCGAGCGGAAGCCCAAGAAGAACCAAACTGCACTGGATCTCCTGCACGCGCAGACCGTGTCTCAGACGGCGGCCTCCTCACCCCAGGGTGAGTCACCCCTACCCCAGGGCGCCCCCTCTCCCCGAGTGCGGAGGCCTAGGGGCCCCTCTGCTGGGACGCCGCCCTCCTGAGCCCTGGGTATCTGGGGGGTCCTGGGAGCCTCTCTGGTGTGGCTATGCCTTCGGGGCGGCCCCGTCCTAAGGGGTACTGGGCACTTGCCCCATGCTGACGCCTGCCCACTGCTCTGCCCCAGATGCCTACAGGTCCCCTCACAGCCCGTTCTACCAGCTACCTCCAAGCGTGCAGCGGCACTCCCCCAACCCGCTGCTGGTGGCGCCCACCCCGCCTGCGCTGCAGAAGCTGCTAGGTGAGTTCGCGAGCACGAAGGGGCCAGCGGAGGAGGCTGGGCTTGGGGCGGTCCCGGGAGGACCATGGGTCGTGACTCTGACCTTGCGGCAGCCCTCATGACCCCCGTGCTTGACCCCACTGAGGTTCACCCAGGGTTGGGGGCTGCCTGCTGCAGGGGTCAGGAGAGGCTGAGATAAAGCTCGTGGGTTGTTTGAGGTTTCACTCTGGAGACGCTGGGTGACACTTGGGACATCTGTGGTTGTCATGACTGGATGGTGCTGCTGCCCCGGGGTGGGTGCTGGCTAGGGATGTTGCTCAGGGCCCTGCACTGCCCTGCGAGGTGGACATTCGGCGGAGCAGGGGTCGGGGCGTGTGGTGTGGGCCCCGCGGGCTCTGCCAGGCTCCTGCCTCCTGAGCGCCTGCCTGGCCCTGTGCTGTTCCTCACGGCTGCCCTCGCCTCACCTGTGCTGCGCCTCTCTCCCCAGAGTCCTTCAGGATCCAGTACCTGCAGTTCCTGGCATACACGAAGACCCCCCAGTACAAGGCCAGCCTGCAGGAGCTGCTGGGCCAGGAGAAGGTGGGTCCCGGCCCCCCGATTCCTCCTGCTCGCACGGAGGCAGGCCGGTTCCTGTTCCTGGGCGTCCGTTCCCACAGCAGAGGCCCTGGAGCACAGGCCTGAGTGGCTCCCTCCTCCCCTCAGCTGCTGCGAGAAACAAACTCACCTGTTTTAAACCCAAAGAATGGACTGAGAGACCAAGAGAACAGCGAATCGGGACTCTTCATGTGGTTTTGCCAGATCCGGTGTCTCAGGGCCACACCCAGCAGTGTCAGCCAGTGTGTACCCCAGTCCTCCCGGGCATCGCCTGGTGCTTGTTGGGCAGGCGCTTTAGGTGTTTTCTCTAGGGTTGTCTTGCTGCATTTTGTCGCTGCCCACAATGCATTGCAATCCTAGTCAGCTCAGGGGCTCTTCGAGTAGCTGACTCGTGGCCTGAGTGGGGGCAGGCTCGTAAGAACGGGCAAAGCAGGCTACTGAACGTTCATCTTACGTTCATCTTACTCCACTTCTTTGGTTTGAGCGAGGCAACTAAGCAGGGGAGGGGGCTGGCGAGGCCGAGAAGCAGGCATCAGATCCAAGCAGGGGCCTAGTATATGCTGTCTCCTGTGGTGTCCTGACCTAAGCCAATTCAAGGCACTTCGTCTTGGAAATGGACCACTGTATACATGATTTCCTGCACCTGAGGTCCCCGCTGTGGGGCACCCCCCACACCCCTGATCTCCCCCAGGGAGCTGTGGAGGACCTGCCTCAGTGCGGAGCTAGGGCCAGGCTATGGGTGGAAGTTCTGGCGGCCCAGAGGCAGCTCCAGAAGCCACTGGAGCCATGAGAGCGCCTGTCTCTGAGCCCTGGTTTGCATTTTGGACTTAGGTTTTGCTTCAAAAAAGCTTACAGGGCCGGACGCAGTGGCTTGCGCCTGTAATCCCAGCACTTTGGGAGGCTGAGGCAGGCGGATCATGAGGTCAGGAGTTTGAGACCAGTCTGTCCAACATGGTGAAACCCCGTCTCTACTAAAAATACAGAAATTAGCTGGGCATAGTGGTGGGCGCCTGTAATCGCGGCTACTCTGGAGGCTGAGGCAGGAGAATCACTTGAACCCGGGAGGCGGCGGTTACAGTTACCTGAGATCGCACCATTGCACTTTAGCCTGGGTGACAGAGGCTTCGTCTCAAAAATCGAAAGCCTCCAGGGTGCTTTGAGCACAGGCACACACATCGCTTCCTGTAGCTGACAGCAGGCCCGGCCGGGGCTATGTTCTTGGCCGCTGTCTGGGTGTTGTCCCATGGCAGTAGCTCCTGGCTCTTCCCTTCAGGGCACTGCAGCAGGCCTCCTTGCAGATCAGTGTCCAAAGTCCATCTCCTGGTATTGCCTTGGGGCAAACTCCCTAGATGCCGGCTTCCCTCTGCAGTGAACCAGATGCAGAGCTGGTCCCTCCCACCGCAGCCTGAGTGTTACTGGGCATCTCAGCCCAGTGTAGGTCCCCTCAGGCGTGTCTGTCCTTGAGCGCATCTGCAGGGAGGCGTGACAGGCAGGGCGTGGGCCTTGGCTGCGGGCCCTCAGTCACCTGCCCCATCTGTCCTGCAGGAGAAGAATGCCCAGCTCCTAGGCACAGCTCAGCAGCTCCTCAGCCACTGCCAGGCCCAGAAGGAGGAGATCAGGAGGCTGTTCCAGCAGAAATTGGATGAGGTAGTGGCTCCCGGAGGGTTGATGGCAGCTGGGGCGCAGCCTGGGGCGGCCTTCCTGTGGCTCAGCCTGGGGCGATCTTCCTGTGGCTCCTGTCTGGGCCTCTGTCCTGCTATTTCTCCTGGGCTGGGCTGCAGGGGTTTCCATGCCTGGGGCTTCCTTCGCGCTGGAGGCCACCAGCGTGACCGCTAACCCACCCCGTGTCCCCAGCTGGGTGTGAAGGCGCTGACCTACAACGACCTGATTCAAGCGCAGAAGGAGATCTCCGCCCATAACCAGCAGCTGCGGGAGCAGTCGGAGCAGCTGGAGCAGGACAACCGCACGCTCCGCAGTCAGAGCCTGCAGCTGGTGGGGGCCGCCGTGCCGGGACAGGGACATAGAGGGAGCCAGAGGGACCCCGCCTGGGCGGGTGTGTCCTCTGTGCGGGTGGGGGGCTCTGGAAGGCCGCCTCTGTTGTGGGGTTGGTTCCCAGACGCATCGCAAGACCTGTGAAAGCTGTGGAGCCTGTCACAGCAGGCCAGCTGTGGCAGGCTTGAGGTGTGGGGTCCCGTGAGCACCCCTGTGCCGTAGTGTGGGTGCCAGAGCTGCCTCATCTGTCTGTGGGGGCCACAGTCGTCACTGGTTCCCCATCCTCAGCCTGCTATCCCAGAAGCAGCTTCTGTTCCCTAAGCACACAAGCTGTTGGCTGAGGCTGGCCCAGGGAGCCCTTGCCCTGAGGGTGCGCATTGTGCCGGGCTGCCAGTCAGCCAGTTGACGCTGTCCCGTCCCTGTCCTGTCAGCTCAAGGCTCGCTGCGAGGAGCTGCAGCTGGACTGGGCCACACTGTCCCTGGAGAAGCTGCTGAAGGAGAAGCAGGCCCTGAAGAGCCAGATCTCGGAGAAGCAGAGGCACTGCCTGGAGCTGCAGGTGGGCTGGGCGCGGCTGCACTCCGTGGTGCCCAGGAGGCTCCCGTCGGCTTCCCTGTGACCGCATTGAGGCCCTGGGGTGGTTGTGGATGTAGCAGCCTAGGAAGAGGATGGAGGAGGCTTGTGGACCCTTCTCTCCTGGGCTGCAGGCTGGCCGTGTGGACGGCTGCGCCTCACTCTGGCCCTCAGCGCTCTGGGGCACCTCGGGTGTGCTCAGCTGAGTGCACAGCGTTCTTGGCTTCCTCCTTCCTGACTGCCTCTGCAACAGTCATGGGCAGAATTTGCTCTAGAAAATAGCTGGAACAGATCATGGGCTCATGTTTGTAATTCCAGCACTTTGGGAGGCTGAGTTGGGTGGATCACTTTGAGGTTGGAGACTAGCCTGGCCAACACAGTGGGACCCTGGCTCTCCCAAAAATGCAAAAGTTAGCCGGGTGTGGTGGGACGTGCCTATAGTCCCAGCTACCGGGGAGGCTGAGGCAGGAAAGTTAGCCGGGTGTGGTGGTCCATGCCTATAGTCCAGGCTACTGGGAAGGCTGAGGCAGGAAAGTTAACGGGGTGTGGTGGTGCGTGCCTATAGTCCCAGCTACCGGGGAGACTGAGGCAGGAAGATCATTTGAGTCTGGGCGGGGGAGGCTGCAGGGAACTGAGATTTTGCGACTGCATTCCAGCTGGGGTGACAGAGCCAGGCCCTGTCTGAAAAATAAAATAGCTCATACTTTCTGACGCCGAGAAACGCGTTTGTGGAGGCCGCGTAGAGGAAGCACGGAGCAGGACGTGTGGCAGAAAGGTGCTCTCCTCCCGGGCAGGAGCTCGCGCGCCGTGCCCATCGCTGCCCTGCAGTCTGGAAAGCAGCAGGTCTCGGGCTTTGTTCTCACAGCCCTGTGCCTTCTAGGCTGTGTCCGCTGAGCTTACCTGTCCCCAGCGTGGTTTCACCGCTGATGGACATGGTGCCTTGTCGCCAGCCCTCTGTTGCCCTTTCAAAGGCCTTCACCAAAGCCTTGCTGCGAGGCTGCCCTGAGAGGCAGGAGCCCACACATGCTGGCATTGGGAAGCACCACCCACATGCGGCCTAGCTGCTTGCTCACGTGTGTGGCCCTGGCGAGCCTCACTAGCATACCTTAGAGAAACAGAGGTCGTGACCTTGTTCCCACAGCCAGGCCGCATGGAGTAGAGGCCTTGGGAGGAGCATATTTGGCTTCTAACCCTTTTTGTCATAATCTTTTTTCTGCAATAAACGATATGTGTTTGTTAAAAAAAAGGAAAGCAGAGAAACAGAACAGGCAAACCAAAAGGAAAAAGCGCTTCCCAGACTCAGCGCCAGGGGAAGCACTGCCACGCTCCAGTGGCGTGTCCTGCCACGGGTGTCTGCGTGTTTCACACTTAGAGTCTATTTTAAGAGACCAGAGCGCTCTGTATCTTCCTGTTACTCTTTTTGGAGAGTGTGTTTCCATGTCGATGGAAGCCATCCTCGGCCCTCCACGTTGCTTAATTTGACGTCCCCGAGCTTCCCAACCCCGCCTGCAGGTGTTTGGTGGTTTCGGTTTTTCCATCCCACATGAGCACCAGGGTCCTGGCCGCCCCTCCGGGGGTCCGTCTGTGGCACAGCCCCAGGTCCCTGGTGTGGGCCCAGGCGGGGCGGGTCTGACGCCGCCTCTCCTTCTGCAGATCAGCATCGTGGAGCTGGAAAAGAGCCAGCGGCAGCAGGAGCTCCTGCAGCTCAAGTCCTGCGTGCCACCGGATGACACCCTGGCCCTGCACTTGCGCGGGAAGGGTGCCCTGGGCCGCGAGCTCGAGTCTGACGCCGGTCGGCTGCATCTGGAGCTGGACTGCGCCAAGTTCTCGCTGCCTCACTTGAGCAGCATGAGCCCAGAGCTCTCCATGAATGGCCATGCTGCCAGCTATGAGCTGTGCAGCGCGCTGAGCCGGCCCTCGCCCAAGCAGGACACGCCCCAGTACCTGGCCTCACCCTTAGACCAGGAGGTGGTACCCTGCACCCCTAGCCACGGCGGCCGGCCGCGCGTGGAGAAACTGTCTGGCTTGGCTGTGCCCGACTACACCAGGCTGTCCCCGGCCAAGATCGTGCTGAGGCGGCACCTCAGCCAGGACCACACGTTGCCAGGCAGGCCAGCTGCCAGCGAGCTGCACCCGAGGTAAGTGCCCTGGCAGGTGGGGGTCTGCGCCTGGTGCCTGCGGACTCCGCCTGGTGCACTTGGGCTGTTGGAGGTCTCTGCAGGAGGCCATCTGTTGAGGAGACTAAGGTGGGGAGGTGTTGGGCCAGGCTGCTGCCCCTGAGCACCAGCCGGGGGCACCGAGTGGCCCTTCAGAGTGACTGCAGCTTCTCATTCCAGAGCTGAGCACACCAAGGAGAATGGCCTTCCCTACCAGAGCCCCAGTGTGCCCAGCAGCATGAAGCTGAGCCCCCAGGACCCGCGGCCCCCATCCCCTGGGACCCTGCAGCTTGCTGGAGAGAAGAGCAGTGAGAAGGTGTGGGCTGCAGCCCCCACCCGGTGCTCATGGGGGTGCTCAGCAGAGGCAGCCCTGGCGACTTGCTAGCAGGGGGCTTGTCTTGGTTGACCTTGGGGCACAGTGAGGGACTGGGGCTGCCCAGAGGACCTCGTGGCTGAGTTGGGGGGGCAGCCAGTAAGGACAGGTCACAGGTGACGCTGGGCAGGTGCCATGGAGGGTATAGGGTTTGTCGGGGTGTCCCTGATGCCCTGCTATTCTCAGTGATGGGTGGTGAGGGCTGGTGGAAACTCAGAGCCCAGTTTGGGAGGCTGCTGCCCATGAGGACTGCCTGGGGGCACTGGCCTGTGAGTGCAGGGATGGATGGTGATGTTGCATGGACTTGGCAATGATGGATACAGGCCCAGGCAGGCTCAGTGGCCCCACAGGTGACAGCCCACCAAGCTGGGCGGGCAGGCTGGAGGGAACACATGGGCATGGCTTTCAGACACGACACCAGGAACGTGCTATGCCTCTGGAGTGACCCAGAGCTGGTGTCCAGGAGTTCCCGACTGTGTGGGGCAGGTTGTGGGGCCTTGGCAGCCTGGGGGTGGTCTTGAGAGAGCAACCGCAGGCCCCTGTGTCATGGCTGTGGTTCCTGTGTCCTGGAGGGGTGTGTTGACCTGCGGCCGGGGGTCCGGCGTTCGTCCGCAGGGCCTGAGAGAGCGTGCCTACGGCAGCGGCGGGGAGCCTATCACCAGCCTCCCCATCAGCATCCCGCTCAGCACCGTGCAGCCCAACAAGCTCCCGGTCAGCATCCCCCTGGCCAGCGTGGTGCTGCCCAGCCGCGCCGAGAGGGCGGTGAGTGCTTCCCAGGAAGGTCCCCAAGGGCCACATCGAGGCCAAACGGCGTGGGGTTCCCGAGCGCCGACTCGCTCGTGAGAAGTCACAGGTTGTTAACCGTTGTGTGTGAGACGGTGCAGTGAAGGGGGCCGTGCACAGCCGGTGCGGCCGCTCAGCTCTGTGCCGTTATCGCCAGCCTTCTGCTTTTGGGTAAAAGGTGGGTGCGCAGGTCGTTGAGGAGGAGCTCAGAGGCCCAGCCTGGCTGCCAGCCCCCTCCTCACGGGGCCCCGTTGCCTGTTGTAGCCCCTGTCGTCACGGCCGCTCCTGGGTTCTCCCACACCACACTGTGCCCTCAGAGAATCTCATCCTGTGGAGCATGGGTGGGGTTTTCTGGGCATTAAGCTCTTTCTTTTTTAAAAATTTTGTGTTTCAGGTGTACGTTTTCATGGTTTTTAGCTTTTTTTTTTTTTTTTTTTTGAGATGGAGGCTTGCCCTGTCACCCAGACTGGAGTGCAATTGTGTGATCTTGGCTCACTGCAACCTCCACCTCCCAGGTTCAAGTGATTCTCCTGCCTCAGCCTCCCAAGTAGCCGAGATTACAGGTGCCTGCCACCATGCCCAGCTAATTTTTGTATTTTTTGTAGAGATGGGGTTTCACCATCTTGGCCTGTCTGGTCTTGAACTCCTGACGTCAGGTGATCCACTGGTCTTGGCCTCTCAAAGTCCTGGGATTATAGGCATGAGCTACCACACCTGGCCAATTTTTGTATTTTTCATAGAGGTGTGGTTTCACCATGTTGGTCAGGCTGGTCTCGAACTCCTAGCCCTCAAGCAATCCACTTGGCTCAGCCACCCACAGTGCTGGGATTCCAGGCATGAGCTCCGGCACCCAGCCGGGTTTTCTATTTTTATACACCTCTGTCTAATTCCGGGGCATTTTTTTCACCCCAGAAGCAGCGTTACTCTGCTCAGTGCTCACTCCTTAGCCCTCCCCCAGCCCTCCTAGGCCCCTGAACGTGCTCAAGTCCAGGCCCGTCCCCTTTGACTTGAGCACGTGCCCTCCAAGCTGAGTTGTCATCTGAGAACAGGAGGGTGGGAGGCCACTGAGCCATAGGCTTTCCTTGTGACGTCTCTGAGATCACAGGGGCAGAGAGGACCTCACTTAGAGGTGACTTGGCGCGTGATGGCATTCCCCGTGTAGATGGAGTGTGCTGTCGTCATCCCAGCCCAGCTGATGGGCACCGAGCTGGATCCACGTTTTGGCAGTTGTGAATCCTTGTGCTGCGAGTGTTGGGTCCAGGGTTTTGTGTGGATGTAGGCTTGTTCTTTGGCCCAGGGTCACTCTGTGGACCTTTTTTGAACCTGCAGTGTGGCGGGTTGTGGCGGCTGGTGGGTGTGTTCTCGCGTGGCAATCCTCCCCCAACGTGACTGCTGACATTTGTCTGTGCTGCTCAGAGAAAGCAGCCCGTTTCCCTGTTGAGGGTGGGTGGGGGTTCTTTGGGTTGTGCCCAGTACCCCTGTCCCACAGCCGGGACTCCCACCTCCTGACCTCCCTGCCTCAGGCCTGCCGCCCCATTCACACGCTGGTGCCACCCACCCTGGCTGTGCCACCCACCCGGGGCCCTGCTGCAGTCCTTCACCCGCTGCCCTCTTCCCACCCCGGACTGGACAGTGACCCCGGCCAGCTGCATTCACTGTTTCCAGCTGGGTTCTGGGCCTCCCCCTGACACACTGGCTTTTCTCTCTGCAGAGAAGCACCCCCAGTCCTGTGCTGCAGCCCCGAGACCCCTCGTCCACACTTGAAAAGCATATTGGTGCTAATGCCCACAGTGCTGGGAGCAAAAGCCTTGCCCTGGCCCCCGCAGGTAACGTCCCTCCTGTGTCCTACCCTCGGGACTTTGCTGCTGCCGCTGCTCTTCAGAGCAGGAGGGCTGGGTGCTGGGAGCGGAACGGGGCTTCCCGGGGTGATCATAGGGCCATCCTAGACCGCTGGGCCTCCTTCCCAGCATCCTTTCCTTTCTCACAAGCTGGGATGAAGCTCGGGCTCAGCTTCGGCCATGATGCCCTCAGGCCTGCGTCTCCCGACACTGACACCTCACACCTGTCTGTATTGATTCCGCCGTGGGGTCAGCCCCAGCCCTGTTGGGGCTCCTGCAGTCGCAGCTGGGAGGCCCCTGACTCAGTGCACAGTGGCACATGGCCGTGGGCCTCCATGCTGGCGGCAGCGTGGTTTCGGGTTCCATGACCAGTCTCTGCTGGTAGACCAGTTTCTGTAAAGAGTCAGAGGGGGCCGGGCGCGGTGGCTCACGCCTGTAATCCCAGCACTTTGGGAGGCCGAGGCGGGTGGATCACGAGGTAAAGAGATCGAGACCATCCTGGTCAACATGGTGAAACCCCGTCTCTACTAAAAATACAAAAAGTTAGCTGGGCATGGTGGTGCGTGTCTAATCCCAGCTACTCAGGAGGCTGAGGCAGGAGAATTGCCTGAACCCAGGAGGCGGAGGTTGTGGTGAGCCGAGATCGTGCCATTGCACTCCAGCCTGGGTAACAAGAGCGAAACTCCGTCTCAAAGAAAAAAAAAAAAAAAAAAGCCAGAGGGGATGCTGCACTGGCCTCTGTCATGACCGTGCAGGCCTGTCTAGTGTGGAAGCCACAGAGACACTTGTCAGTGAGTGTGGGAGACACTTGTCAGTGAGTGTGGCTGTGTACCAATGAAACTACTTAAAACAGTGGAGGGCTCAGGCTCTCAGGCTCGTCTGCTGGCCCGGTGTTGACATGTGGCATGATGTGGCATCTACTTTTTTAGGAGTAAAAAGTAAAATGTGACCCACACCTGTAAGCCCAGCACTTGGGGAGGGAGAGGTGGGCGGATCACCTGTGAGACTGGCCTGGCCAAAAATGTGAAACCCCGTCTACTAAAAATACAAAAATTAGCCTGGTGTGGTGATGGTCACTTGTAATCCCAGCTAGTCGAGAGGCTGAGGCAGGAAAATTACTTAATCCTGGGAGGCGGAGGTTGCAGTGAGCCGAGATGATCCCTCTGCACTCCAGCCTGGATGACAAAGAGGGAAACTCCGTCCCAAAACCGAAACAAACAGCACAGCAGTAGCAAAGTGCAGGACGCACGGCTGCTGTCGGGACCGGAGGCTCCAGCGTGGCTGGGCGGCATCACATTTGACTGTGTGAGGGCCCTGGAGAGGCCACCCAAGCCCGGCAGCTCTGCTCTGGCAGGCTTGTGCCCTTGAGATGAGGTCTGGTCTGTGAGAGGCAGTGACAGTATCGGGAGGTGTTCACCTGGGTCACAAACAGGCGTCTAACTCCAGCCACCCTTTGTCCCAGGTGGTCCCAGAAGTGCACTGCTCACTGTAGGCTGGGAAGGGCGGCCTTAGCCTTCAGGGCAGCCATAGCTTGGAGGGTCCAAACTGAGTTGTCATCTGAGAACAGGAGGGTGGGAGGCCACTGAGCCATAGGCTTTCCTTGTGGCGTCTCTGAGATCACAGAGGCAGAGGGGACCTCACTTAGAGGTGCCCAGCTCAGCCACACCGGGCTTCTTGAGGGGAGGTAGCATCTCAGCCGAGACCTGCAGGGCACAGGCAGCCCAGATGAATGGGAGGAGGCACAGGTCAGCCCTGAGCCCTGAGGTTGCCCACAGAGTCTTCTGGTTCCACCGCAGAGAGGCCGTTTCAGCCTCCTAGCCCTGTTCCCTGCTTCACCGCCTCTCCTGGAGCACACAGAGCTCCTAGAGGAAGGTACTCCCACAGCCTGGCTTCCTCTTCGGCCAAGGTGGGGCCCGGCATCTCCCCTGTGGACTGAGGCTGTCCTGCATCCCCTGAGACCCCCATGTCCTTCCCAGCAGGCTTCTCCTATGCTGGCTCAGTGGCCATCAGCGGGACCCTGGCAGGCAGCCCAGCCTCTCTCGCCCCTGGAGCCGAGCCAGCCACCTTGGATGAATCCTCCGGCTCTGGGAGTCTTTTTGCCACTGTGGGGTCCCGCAGCTCCACGCCACAGCATCCCCTGCTGCTGGCACAGCCCCGGAACTCGCGCCCGGCCTCTCCCGCCCACCAGCTCTCCTCCAGTCCCCGGCTCGGTGGGGCTGCCCACGGCCCGCTCCCCGAGGCCAGCAAGGGGGACCTGCCCTCCGATTCCGGCTTCTCAGATCCGGAGAGCGAGGCCAAGAGGAGGATCGTGTTCACCATCGCCACCGGCGCGGGCGGTACCAAGCAGTCGCCTTCCAGCAAGCACAGCCCCCTGACCGCCAGCACCCGCGGGGATTGTGCGCCAAGCCACGGCCAGGACAACCGCAAGCGTGGCCGGCGGAAGCGAGCGTCAACGGGGACGCCCAGCTTGACCACAGGCGTGTCCCCCAAGCGCCGAGCCCTGCCATCTGTCGCCGGCCTCTTCACGCAGCCTTCAGGGTCTCCTCTAAACCTCAACTCCATGGTAAGGATGGGGACTGACCAGAGGGAGGTGGGGGGCCATGACTGAGGCAGGTCGTCCGTCCCCCACCATGTGCGGCTGTGGCAGCCTGGGAAGAGGCGGTCGACAGCTGCCCCTGGGCTTCAGAGCAGCGCTGAGCTGCCTGAAAGCTTCATCCTCGGCGGTGGGGCCTTGGTGGAGGTGGGCACACGAGGAGTGGGCGTGGGGGGCTCTGGGCTTGGGGGTGGTATGTGAGGACCAGAAGGAACCAGGACTTAGGCGGCACTGGCCACTGGGCAGGGCATCCGTTTCCTCAGGAACCTCTGGGGTACAGGCAGGAGCCTCCTGGGTCGTGGGACTCTCCTGCCTTGGGATCCTCGCCTGTGCTGTGTGCATCCACTGTGTCTGTCTGCCATCAGGTCAATAACATCAACCAGCCCCTGGAGATTACGGCCATCTCGTCCCCTGAGACCTCCCTGAAGAGCTCCCCTGTGCCCTACCAGGACCACGATCAGCCCCCCGTGCTCAAGAAAGAGCGGCCCCTGAGCCAGACCAATGGGGCGCACTACTCCCCGCTCACCTCCGACGAGGAGCCAGGCTCTGAGGATGAGCCCAGCAGCGCCCGGCAAGTCCTGGGTCCCTTCTGGGGGCAGGGCCCAGCAGCAGGGGAAGGAGGCGTGCACTCACCATGTGTGGGTGGGGAGGGCCAGAAGACTTCGAGGGGGTGCCCTGGAGGGGAGAGAGACATCTGTTTTGTGAGGGGCCTCCCTGCAGGTCCTGGGCTCTGTTCTGGGCAGGGCCGGCCTCCTGAGCCATTTAGGGTGGGGTCCTGGCACACGAGCAGGGACACCCGTAAGAAGAGGCCACACTGTCCAGGCAAGGTGGCTCACGCCTGTCATCTCAGCCCTTCGGGAGGCCAAGGTGGGCAGATCACCTGAGGTCAGGAGTTCCAAATAGCCTTATTAACATGGAGAAACCCTGTCTCAACTAAAAAGAAATTAGCTGGGCGTGGTGACGCACACCTGTGATTCCAGCTACTCGGGAGGCTGAGGCTGGAGAATCACATGAACCTGGAGGCGGAGCTTGCAGTGAACCAAGATTCTGCATTGCACTCCAGCCTGAGCAACAAGGCAGCTAAACTCTGTCTCAGAAAAAAAAAAAATGCCAAGCTCAGTAGGAGCTGAGCGCAGCAGGAGAGACCTTTCAGCAGTGAGGCGTTTGGGGCTCATCTGCACGCCCTACTCGGTGTATTAGAGCAGCTTTACTGAACTTCACCTGTCATATCCCCCATTTAAAGCGTGCATTTCAGAGGTCTTTGGTATGTCTGCGTTACCACTGTTGACCTTCCATCCTCTCCAAAGGAAATCTTACCCCTTGAAACACTCACCCCCCATCCCCTCCCCAGAGCCCCTGGCACTACCCATCCTACCTTCTGTCTCTGTGACTGAGGGCTCGAGGGACCTCCGAGGAGTGGAACCACAGAGGGTGTGTCTGTTGGGGTCTGGCATCTCTCCCTGATCCTCAAGGTGACTGGAGGTGCCTCGCCATCCATCCGCCTGTTGCTGGGCTTGGCATTCTTGGCGGTTGTGAGCGGTGCTACTGTGGCCGTGGGTGTGCGTGTTGTGTTTGAAAGTGAGTTTCCAGGTGCCTGGGCGGAGGAGCTGGGTGGCCCAGCCCTTGTGCTCCTCAGCAGCCGCACCATTCTACCTGCCGCCATGGGCACACGCGGGGCTAAGGTCCCCACATCCTTGCCACAATGAATTTCTGTGTTTGATTCTAGCCGTCTGAGTTGTTGCGAAGTGGTATCACATTGCAGGGTTTTTGCTTTTTTTTTTTTTTTGAGACGGAGTCTTAACTCTTGTCACCCAAGCTGGAGTGCGGTGGCACAGTCTCAGCTCACTGCAACCTCCACCTCCTGGGTTCAGGTGATCCTCCTGCCTCAGCCTCCCGAGTAGCTCTCGCTGCAGGTGTGTGCCACCACCATGCCTAGTTCATTTTTTTGTTTTACAGAGATGGCATTTGGCCATATTGCCCAGGCTGGTCTGAAACTTCTGGCCTCAAGCAGCCGGTCTGCCTCTGCCTCCCGGCCTGCTGGGATTGTAGGCGTGCACCATCGCAGCCAGCCCTGAGAGCTCTTGGTGGTGTTTAGAGTTAGTTCATTTTGCTCCGCTCCAAACACGCATGCCCGTTAAATAGAAAACATCCGAGCACGTGGGTGCTCTTTGCGTTGGGGTTGCTCAGCTTAGTGTTTGCAGAGTCTTTGGGGATTCTGGTGTCCCTGCTGTGTTCTTGGGACTCTGGATGAAACCAGCCCCGTGAAGTGTGTGGGTGGACGTGGCTCTGCGCGCCGGCCTGCGAGGCGGTGGCATCGTTTGCCCCCCGAGGCACCGAGGTCTGGAGGGCAGCAGAGGGAGGTGGGAAGAGAGCTCTGGCTGGACGCACACGCTTCCCGGGTGCTGGGAAGTGGCTTCTCCCATTCACCTGCCATGCTCGGGCTCTTGGCCCCTTGTCCCAGCAGAGGCCCTGGAGCCTCTGCCAGGACAGTGCCCTTCTGGCGCAGTGTGGGTGGACCCCAGGGCCCAGCTGCACAGTCCGGGCCCGACCCGGGGTGGCTGCGTGGATCCCCTGTCCGGCCCAGGTGCTGCTGCGTCCCCCAACTCCTGGCTGTTCACCGTCAGCACTAGCGTCGCTCTTAGTGTGCACCTGGGTTTCAAGCATTAATGACGTTTCTTTCTTAACAGAATTGAGAGAAAAATTGCAACAATCTCCTTAGAAAGCAAATCTCCCCCCAAAACCTTGGAAAACGGTGAGTAGCAAGTGCTCTGGGACGCGGCCAGGCCTGTCCATTTGGCCGTTAGTGCTGCCAACACTGGGGGCGCTGGGCTTCTTGAACTGCCTCCGGGAGGGCCCCCGGGCACATGCCACACTCTTGCAGTGGGTGCTCACCTGCGGGGGTTGCCACCTTGGGTACCTTGTTCTTTTTGGACCCTGACCTTCCCCCGAGAGGTGTCTGCTTTCATCCTCTGTTGTGCCTGCATCCTCTGTGAGGTCCCTGGCCTGCTCAGGGACGACCCCACCCTCCGAATTTACCCCAGAGCTAAGGGTGAGCTCATCCCGCCCGGGCTCCTCTGACACCCTCTTGAGCTGCCTTGGTCCAGTCCCATCCACTCCCGTCTCATCCTGTGCTGTGCCCCGCCTGTCCCGTTTCACCCTGCCTGTGCCATCCCATCCCACCTCATCCCCTCCCCTCCGGCCCGCCCCAGCCCGGCCTGCTTGGCGTCTTGCGTGTCCGTGGCAGCCGTCTGTGGAGTCGCTCGTGCTGTGGCAGCAGCCCTGGTTAGCCTCATGGCTTTCTTCCTTGCCAGGTGGTGGCGTGGCAGGAAGGAGGCCCGCGCCGGCCGGCGAGCCGGTCAACAGCAGCAAGTGGAAGTCCACCTTCTCACCCATCTCCGACATCGGCCTGGCCAAGGCCGCGGACAGCCCCCTGCAGGCCGGCCCCACCCTGAGCCAGAGCTCCCTGTTCGCGTTCCGGCCTGCCCTGGAGGAGACCCCCGCCGATGCCAAGCTGGCCGCCCACCCCAGGAAAGGCTTTCCCAGCTCCCTGTCAGGGGCCGACGGACTCAGCCCCAGCACCAACCCTGCGAACGGCTGCACCTTCGGCGGGGGCCTGGCCGCCGAGCTGAGTTCACACAGCTTCAGTGATGGTGCTTCTCTCACCCACAAGGGCCCCGAGGCGGCCGGCCTGAGCTCCCCGCTGGGCTTCCCCTCGCAGCGCGCCAAGGAGGCCTCGGACGCCAACCCTTTCCTGAGCAAGAGGCAGCTAGACGGCCTGGCCGGGCTGAAGGGCGAGGGTGGCCGCGGCAAGGAGGTTGGGGAGGGAGGCCTGCCGCTGTGCGGCCCCGCGGACAAAACCCCGCTGCCCGCTGGCAAGGCCGCCAAGGCCCGGGACCGTGAGCTCGACCTCAAGAACGGCCACAACCTCTTCATCTCCGCGGCCACCGTGCCCCCTGGGGGCCTCCTCAGCGGCCCCGTCCTGGCCCCGGCGGCGTCCTCTGCAGGCGGGGCAGGGTCCTCCGCCCAGACGCACCGGCCCTTCCTGGGCCCGTTCCCGCCAGGGCCGCAGTTCACGCTGGGCCCCATGGCCCTGCAGGCCAACCTGGGCTCCGTGGCCGGCTCCTCCGTGCTGCAGTCGCTCTTCAGCTCTGTGCCGGCCGCCGCCGGCCTGGTGCACGTGTCGTCCGCTGCCACCAGACTCACCAACTCGCACGCCATGGGCAGCTTTTCCGGGGTGGCAGGCAGCACAGTTGGAGGTAGGTCGCCTTCCTCTGCAGGTGTCCTTCCCCGCCCTCTGGGCCAGGAGCTGAGCAGCTGGTCCCCACCGTCTGGGCACGGTCCGGAATCCAGTCCTGCGGGGAGAGCGCTCCCGCTGAGTCCGTGTGTCTCGGGTTCTCTGGTTATAACGGCGTCCCTCTCGTTTTCAGAAGGCCACGGTGCGCAGGGTCACCAGGGCATTCCTTTCTCCCGTGGAGGTCACCTGTTAGGTGTGGCCGCCCGGGCTCTGGCAAGGCTCTGGGAGCTGGTGTTGGGTAAGAGCGAGTCCCCGCAGTGCCTGCCCGGACCGGGCGGAGGAGCCTCGGGGCTGCTGCTTGCGCTGGGTGCCCGCACGCCGGCGCCGCCGATCCGCTTCCCTTCGTGAGCCTGCGGCTGCTGCTCTGCGCTTGACTGGATGCTGCCGCCTGTTGAAGCTGCCTTTTTCTCTCCTGTTTGCAGGTGTCTTTAACCACGCGGTGCCTTCCGCCTCTGCTCATCCGTTTGGAGCCCGTGTCGGCCGCGGGGCTGCGTGTGGCAGTGCCACGCTGGGCCCGAGCCCGCTGCAGGCGGCGGCCAGCGCCTCGGCCTCTTCCTTTCAGGCCCCGGCCTCGGTTGAGACCCGGCCGCCCCCTCCGCCTCCGCCTCCCCCGCTGCCCCCGCCTGCGCACCTGGGCCGGCCCCCCGCGGGGCCTCCCGTCCTCCACGCTCTCTCACCTAACGCCGCCTTGCCTCCTCCCCCGACGCTGCTGGCCTCTAACCCTGAGCCCGTGCTTCTGCAGAGCCTCGCGTCCCTCCCGCCTAACCAAGTTTTCTTGCCCCCCGCCTCTGCTGCCTCTCTGCCGCCTGCTAACGCCTCTTTGTCTATCAAGCTCACCTCCCTCCCGCACAAGGGCGCCCGCCCCTCCTTCACGGTGCACCACCAGCCCCTGCCCCGGCTGGCCCTGGCACAGGCCGCACCCGGGATCCCGCAGGCCAGCGCCACGGGGCCGTCCGCTGTGTGGGTGTCCCTTGGCATGCCGCCTCCTTATGCCGCGCACCTTTCAGGGGTTAAGCCGCGATAAAGACCTTGCTTAGCTAGCAGTGCGTATTGTGTAAGGTAAGGCCAGAGCCCCACGCGGTGGCTCCCTCCAGACACTGAACTGTCCTTCCTTTGGCAGAGAAGACAGCCACAGGGCTCGGCAGAAGGGCCGGGGGTCCTGAGGAGGGACTGCAGGACGGGTACCGGCCGTGGCGTGGCCTGAGCGTGTTGGCTTCCAGCTGCCTGCAGCTGGGTCCCTGCGGTGATGCCGCGGGTCCGAGGCCAGCCCTGAGGGCAGCTGTGCCAGCCCCTGTGGGTGAGGCTCACGGGTGCTGTGCCAGGGATGGGTGCAGCCCCTCAGGGGGCTGGGAGTGGCCTCCAGGGCTCCATCTGCACCAGGCCCAGGTCACTTGGGACAGGTGGCGTGGTGCGGTGCTGACATCCCATTGCAGAGGCCCTGGGAAGCCAGGTTGACAGGACGGATGCCTCTGGTCAGGGCTGTCTGGCTGGTGGCCTCGGATACCTCTCATAGGGAGCCGGTGAGGCCCCTGGTATCCCACCTGCCTGGGGGGCTGATGGGTTCCCCCTGGGGCTGAGAGGCAAGCTCTGTGCCTTGTGTGATGGGGCTGCCCCTGGGACACGGCTGATGGTGGCCGCACTGCTCTGTGGCTGTGGCCGAAAGCCGAGGGCTTCCAGCCGCTCAGATGTCGGCACCGAGGCGTACAGGCTAGTGTAGACAGCGCCCGCCTTTGCACCAGAGGAAGTGGGAGGCAGGAGTGAGTTTGTGGCCGTGAGGCCTTCAGGGAACATCACGTCCACTCCTCCTCCGAGAGGTGGTGGAAACTGGCTGCTGACCCCCGAGGGCAGGTGGCCCTCTGTGCCCTCCCAGGACATGGCGTGCCGGGCAACAAAGTGCAAAGGTGCCCTCTGCTTGCCCCTGACCACCTGCCTCGGGGGGCCCTGGGACGCAGGCCTTCACGGGCAAGTCCACATCTCGCTGGGCAAGGAGAGGTGGTCTGGGAGCGGAGGCGGAGGCAGGGCCAAGTGTACTGAAGTGGAAGTAGGAGCGGGCCTGGCGGGTCAGTGCGGGCACCTGTGGGCTGGACAGGTACAGGTCTCACAGGTCCCACAGGAGATGAGCTGCAGGTGGCTTTAGTGGGACTCGGCTGTGCGTCTCTGGAGGAAGGCCGGAGCCTGGCTGGCGTGGCCAGGGGTCGGGCTCCCTGGGCCTGCTGTGGTTGGAGGGGCTGGCGCCCTGCCCGTCACAGGTGCTGGCCCCAGGTGGCGAGTTTGCTCGTGGGAGGCCTCGGTCCCCGGCCCGGGTGAGTGTCGGGCTCCCCAGGCTTGAGGGTGACAGACTGCCCTTCCCGCTGTGCCCTCCTGCAGGTAACTAGGATTTCTACCTCAACCGCGAGACCTATGCAAGGACGGTGTGGACCAACTGCGCCCGCGGCCCCCGCCCGCCGGCCTCCCCCGACGGCAGAGCGAGGACGACGGGAGCTCCACTGTGAATCGGCGGCAGCGCCAGGAGGCTGGGGCTGGTCCAGTTTGTACTGTCGATAGTTTTAGATAAAGTATTTATCGTTTTTTAAAAAGTATAAACAATTCTGACTTATTTTATTCCATCTAAGTGGTAAAAGGCAACTTATTGAGAAATATAAATATCTATATATGAGAGCTCTATATAAAGACACGTGTCTGCAGGGCGGGCCCGCCAGCGGATTCGCCGACAGCCTGCCCCGGTGCTATCTCGTCCCCAGGCCCGCGCCTGCCTCCGCCCGCTTGGTGCTGACTAGACGCTGACGCCGCCGAACCCGGTCCTCGGAAACGCCGCCCGGCCGGCTCCCCCGACGACGCACTGCTCCCGTACCAAAGGCAGGCCCGCCGCTGCCACATTCCTCGGAGGCCTCGCGGCCCGCGCCCCTCCCCGAGCCCCTGGCGCCTGCCTTGAGCGCTCCGCCCCCGCCCCGTCACTGTGAACCCCGGACTGTTCACCCTGCGTGGAGGGCCCGCGCCGCGTCGCTGCGATGGTGCTGTGAGGACGGCCGGCGCCGGACAAGTGCATTTACTTTTGTATTTCTCGGCTTCCGTGGCTCGCCGCGCGCCCTGCGACGCGGGCAGGCCTGTCGAGGGTTCCCTGGTGTTTCTGTACAGGAGAGTCACACTAAGGAGTGGCAGTATTTTATAGAGATGTGATAAGAATTTATAAATTTCATAGATTTGACAGCTTTTATTTTTAGACGGTATAATGCACAGTGAAGAGGAAAGAAAGGCGAGGGGAAAACCTTATTTATTCAGAGTGTACAAAATGGCCGCAGGGTCAGCCCCCCCCCACCACCACCACTCAAGTTGCAGCCCACTGTGGTCCAGACAGCCGCCTGAGCTTCTGCCTGGCCCACGTCCCTTCCTGTCAGGGTCCTGCCTGGCACCCGGCCCTCCAAGTGGGTGTGCCGGGGCCGGGGTGTGCTGCTGAAGCCTGGCCTCTCCGGCCCTAGGCCCTGGGATGACATCTGTCCCCCATTCTGCAGTCTTGGGGGTGCCTGGGACTGGGTGTGGAAGCAGAGGGCGAGGCCAGGCTGTGGCGGGCGGGCAGAGCCACTCAGGTGCTTGTGGAGCCCCGAGCGGTCAGTGCCTGGCCTGTCCGGCAGTGCCGTCTCCACGCACTCCCTGGAGGGTGGGATGTGGGAGCCCTAGCTCCCTGCACACAGGACCCAGGCTGTCACACCCGTTGAGCCCACCTCCTCAAGTTGCTGCTGTGAGAGGACAAAGGGCAGCCCTTCCCCAGGTGTCACAGAACCACCCTCCAGGGAGCTGCCAGCCCTGCATTCTGGTCCCCACCACGTCTTCCTACCACGTGGCCTCCGGAGAGGGAGCCACGGAGGAAAGCCTCCTGTGGTTGCTGGGTGGGGGCAGTCCTGTGTGGGAGGGCCTGGAAGACCCCTGCTTGTGTCTGCTGGGGGGGTGCTGCCTCCCTCTGGCCCCCAACAACCTGTCTCTCAGACCCCTGGCCCCCCAACATAGCTGAGTTTTGCAGATGGTGCTCCAAACCCGTCCTTCCCACCCCCACGTTGGTGCTCTCAGCTTGAAGGTGCTGTGCCTCTGCCCGAGCCCAGCCTTCAGGACAGGTAGCCCGCTCCGTGCCGCCACCGGCCGGAAATGCTCCAGGGTTGACGGCAGAGAAGGCATGGAGTCCCCTGGTCTAGAACAAGACAGACTCTTGAAACACTGTATCACTTCTGCCTCCCCCCAGGGGATAGTGGCTGCCGGGATGCCACTGTGGCTCCTGCCCACGTACACCACCGCGTGTTCAGGACACGCACTGGGTCTCGGAGCCACTGGCCCAGGCAGAAGTCTCCTTGAGCCCCCTGGGGCACATGTGAACTAGCGTACTGCTGCCCGCAGACGCCCTCCCGTTCTGAGCCCTGGGCCATGTCCTCCTCAGACACTCCCAGACGGGGGTTGGTGGCGGTTGACAGTGGAAGCTCCTGCTGGTGCATGGCCTGAGCTTCCATGGGCAGCCGGCGGGGACCTGCTGCTGCTGACCATGGGCGGGCGGCGCCTGGGAGCGGCTGTTGCTCAGGAATTGATAGGAACCCTGATGACTACGACGCCCCCGCCTTGGCCCGTGAGGCACGCTCGGTGACTTATTTAAGACTTGCCCCTTAATTTATCCGCCCCAGGATGCGTCAGTCTGTTCAGTGGTCAGCAGGGCCCCCTCCCCCGTCATCAGTGGTCAGCCCCCCACGCGCTGCTGCTCTGTGTCGGCCCTTGTCTGTTGCCCTCGGGAGGCTCTGCTGTCTTCTTGGTGAACTGTGTTTGGATTGCGCACATTGTCACGGTCTGCCCCTGGGCTGTGGGCGCCCCTTCCTCTGGGCACCCCTGCATTCTGCTTCCCCATCTCTAGACGCTGTAATAAACAGACCATTTCCACTTGGACCTGTGTGAGCGGCAGCCTTTCTTCGGGTGGCCTCAGGTGCGTCCTGGCGGCAAGGGAGTCTTCGCTGAAGCCGGGGATGCAGGGTCTAGGGGTGCTCTTAGCAGAAGCTCTGAGGGCTGACACCAGAAGGCCCTGTCTCGGGGAGGCCTGAGCCTGATGGCATCAGGCTGCGGGCAGACTGCCTTCGGATGAACGCAAAACCAGATCTGCAGGCCCGACAACACAGGCAAAGTCCTTTGCCCCCTCAGAGGGACAAAGCCAGCCCAGGCCCCATCCACACTTGGGGTGGGGGGGGGCAACGAATGCCAGGGTGGGGACCACAGGACTCCCAGTACCACACAGCGGCCCCATTCTCCCGGGCCTGGGTCTCAGCCTCCACCTGTCGGGGCTTGGGTTTCAGGCCTCCCCTCGGCACAGGAGACCCAGCCCCGACCTCTCAAGACCCCAAGCCTTGCTTCCCTGGGGTGTGGACTTCCCAGCTGCCCCTCCCTTCTCCTCTACTGCACCACCATCCACTGTGAAAAAGAGGTACCTTTATTTGAACAGGACAAGCACTTCCCCAGCCCACAGCCGGGGCTCCTGTCTGCAGGAGAATTCACAGCTGGTGGGGGGACTCAGCCCCCACGCCATTCACAGCTTCATCTGGCCCTGTACATTCATTCAGTGCAGGGCGGAGGGGCCACACAGCCGAAGGCCTGCCAGACACTGGATGCACAGAACTCAGGCGTGGCATCGTGGGAGCGTGCACGTCCCGGCAGCAGCACGTAGCACCAGGTGCCAGGCCAGTCGGGTGGGTCCTGGGGCCCCGAGGAGGGCGGCCTGCTGGGCAGTTTCACAAAACGCAGCGCCTGCCCACACCCACCAGCTTCAGGCTTTGGATGTCTCCAAACCAAAAACCTCCCGCTGCAAATCCAGGTGTGACGGCTGGGTGTGGGGGCTCGTGCCTGTGGTCCCAGCCGACTTGGGAAGCTGAGGCAAGAGGATCAAATGAGCCCAGGTCAAGGCCACAGTGAGCTATGGCACCACTGCACTAGCCGGGGCAACAGTGAGGCCCTGACTCAAAAAAAAAAAAAAAAAAAAAAAAAAAAAAAAAACAAAAATCCAGGCATGGCCAATCGACTCAGGGCTGGGCAAAGGCCAGTCCCACCCAGCTCAACGCCAACCACCATGCCCTGCACTCATGCCTGCAAGCCACTCAGCTGGAACCTGGCCTCCTCGGATATACCGAACTGCTCCAGGGGGTCCTGTGGGGTGGACAGATGGCCATGAGCCAGGGCCAGAGGACTCCCTCTGCCACCCACAGCCTCACTCTGGCCACCCAAAGCCCTGTACACACCTTGCCTGTCACCTTCTGGATTTCGTTCCTGTAGAAGATGAGGCTTCTCCGCATGAACTCATAGCTGGAGAAGTGGGAGACACGGGGGTCAGAGGCCTGCACTGCATGGCTGCTGTGCCCACCCCAGCTGTGCCCATGGCCGCCTGGCCCCACCTGGCCCGACGGAGAGCCTCCATCCACTCCTGACACTGCTCCTCGCTGCTGCACTCAAAGTGATACTTCCTCTCGGGGTCCTCGACGAAGCCTGGGGAGGGAGCACCCATGTCAGTCCTGCCCACAACCACAGGGACAGCTTCCAATTGCCAGTGCCCAAAACCACTCCCTTATGGCCCCCACAAAGATGTGTTCACGTCCTGACCCCCAGAACCTAGAGGAGCGTGGCCCCATTTGGAAATAGGGCCTCTGCAAATGAACTAGTTAAAATGAGGTTGTCGCCGGGTGCAGTGGCTGACGCCTGTGATCCCAGCGCTTTGAGAGGCAGAGGTGGGAGGACTGCTTGAGCTCAGACCGTCTCTGCAAAAACAAAAATCAGCTGGGTGTGGTGGTGGGGCCTTGTAGTCCCAGACATTCAGGAAGCAGAGGTGGAAGGATGGCTTGAGGCTACAGTCACTTGTAATTACGCCATGCCACTCCAGTCTGGGTAACGAGATCCCGTCTCAAAAATAAAATCAAGAGGGCTGGGTGCTGTGGCTGATGGCTGTAATCCCAGCATTTCAGAGGCTCAGGCAGGCGGATCACCTGAGGTTGTGAAATCGAGACAAGCCTGGCCAACATGATGAAACCCTGTCTCTGCTAAAAATACAAAAATTAGCTGGGCATGGTGGCAGCCATGTATAATTCCAGCTACTTTGGAGGCTGAGGCAGGAGAATTGCTTCAACCCGGGAGGCAGAAATGCAGTGAGCTGAGATGGTGCCACTGTACTCCAGCCTGGGCGACAGAACAAGACCCTGTCACAAGAAATGAAATAAAACAGGGTTGTCAGGATAGGCCCTCAATTCTGTTTGGCGTCTGTGTAGTAGGGGAAACGTGGACCCAGACGCGATGCAGGGAGCACAAGGTGAGGATGGAGGCAGGGGTGAGGTGATGCCTCCACAAACCAAGGAGGCTGGAAGATGCTGGCCATCACCAGGAACTGGGATCCTTTCTGATACTGAAGCCACCTGGCCTGTGGAATTTTGACAGCCACTCTGGCAAACTCCATCTTTCCCCGAAGATGGGAATCTCTTAAAACCCAGGAGAGACCGGGCGTGGTGGCTCACGCCTGTAATCCAAGCAAGCACTTTGGAGGCCAAGGCAGGCGGATCACCTGAGGTCGGGAGTTCAAGACCAGCCTGACCAACACGGTGAAACTCCGCCTTTAAAAAAAAAGGCCGGGCGCGGTGGCTCAAGCCTGTAATCCTAGCACTTTGGGAGGCCGAAGGGGGTGGATCACAAGGTGAAGAAATCGAGACCATCCTGGTCAACATGGTGAAACCTTGTCTCTACTAAAAATACAAAACATTAGCTGGGCGTGGTGGCGCGTGCCTGTAATCCCAGCTACTCAGGAGGCTGAGGCAGGAGAACTGCTTGAACCTAGGAGGCGGAGGTTGCGGTGAGCCGAGATCGCGCCATTGCACTCCAGCCTGGGTAACAACAACAACAAAAAAACACAGGAGAGACCGGTCGCGGTGGCTCACGCCTGTAATCCAAGCAAGCACTTTGGAGGCCAAGGCGGATCACCTGAGGTCGGGAGTTCAATACCAGCCTGACCAACGTTGTGAAAATCCCATCTTTAAAAAAAAAAAAAAAATCCAGGAGAGCCACACCCCTCTCACTCCCCGACCCCCACGTGGGGTTTCCATCCCAGGGCCATACAACAATGTAGACCCATGCTAACCACGACAGCTGGGGAAACGCTGTGCATGCTGGCGTGAGTACAGCCTGGGCCCACAGGAAGAAAGAGCAGACTCTGGGAGAGACCCAAGATTCAGTGGACTTGGCAGGTGGGCAGGGCGGTGCCCGCCAGAAGGACCTGACCTTGAGCTGGCTGTGGACAACGCACTCTTGTGTCTGGGGAGGGTGGCGCCAAGCTGGGGACACAGAGGCGGCCTTGGGCGCCTGGGGAGGGGACAGTGCGGCGCTGCGGGTGCCCCGGGCTGCTGGAGGCGCCGCTGGCCTCTCCAGCCGCACTCACTGATGGAGAAGGTGCCGGGCTCTTCCCGGGTGACTCTGCAGCGCTCCAGCAGCAGGGCTCCGACGGGCTGGAGGAGACACGGGCGCCAGGACGCGGCGGTGAGCGCCCAGCCTCCCGCAGGGCGCAGCCTGGCACCCGCCCGCGCGCCCGGGGCGCCCCTACCTCGGCCTCGTCTGTCCGGAAGTAGAAGAGGAAATTCACCACGAGCTTCACCAGCCGCCGCTTCAGCACTGCGAGCACAGCGCACGCTCAGGGGCGCAGGGAGTCCCCGCCCGGATCCCCGCCCTCCACCCCCAGCGCCCTCACCCGGAGCCCTGACCCGGTCTCCCGCCCAGGCCCGGACCTCGGCCCCCGCCTCCAGTCCCTAGCACCGTCCCGGTCTCCCGGGTCCCGCTCACCGCTGCCCAACCTAGCACCGTCCCGGTCTCCCGGGTCCCGCTCACCGCTGCCCTTCTTGGGGCCCCTCATGCCCAGCTCGGCCGCCATCTCGGCCGGCTGCCGGGACAGCGCCTGCAGCTCCTTCTCGTTGTACCGCATTGTTCCGCGGGGAACGGTAACCCGTGCCGCGCCCTCGCGGCCGCCGTCCCCGCTCGCGCCGGGGCCGGCGCCAAAAATGTCCCAGGGCGCAGACGCGGAAGCGCTGGGGCTAGTGCGCCTGCGCGCCTTGGGCCGGCCATGTCGCCCATCCCCGCAGGGTGACGCTGGCGACCCAGGGAGGTGGGTGTACCGGTTGGTTCGGGAGACGGGCCGTCGTTCCTAAGTTAACTGAAATACACCGGACCAAGGTGGAGCAAAATCAACGCACCCCCCGCGATGGCTGGCGCCCCTTCTTAGAACGGCCAGGCGCAGGCGGAGGGAGCGATAACATCTCCCGGAGAGAATCAGCCGCGCTCTAGCGAAAGTTGGGCCCACGCGCCCGCCGCGGACCCAGGGTTCGTTGGAAGCGTTCTGCGCACGCGCGCTTTGTTTTCCAGGCCGCACTTTCAGACCCGCCACCTTCAGCCCTTTGCCTCGCGCCGCCGGGCGGGCCGGGCATGCGCACACGAGAGGCCCCGCCCCATTTGCCCCGGAAGTGCTTTCTTTGCCCGCGACGCGCGTGCGCCGAACGAAATCGCGGCGGTGGCGGATCAAGGTGGTGATAGCGCGGCCTTGGGCTCTGGTGAGAGCGTCGGTCGACGGGGACTGGGGGTTCACTGGAGGGGAGCGGACGTGGGAGAGAGGCGCTTGCGACGGGTCGCGGGCTGAGGGGCGGGCAGCGGGTTCGCGCCCCTTCCTCCTCCCTTGAGCGTCCGGCCTTGTGCGTTTGCAGGCCCCGCGCTGGGCGGGCCCGCTCGGAACTCTTATTTCCAAACACCTGTTGGGGGTCCGAGCACCGGACCTCACGCGTGTAATCCCAGCGCTCAGGGAGGCCTCGGCCGGAGGATCGCTCGAGGCCAGGAGTTCGAGACCAGCCTGGACAACACAGGGTGACTTCTCATCTCTACAAAAAAATTTTAAAAATTAGCCAGGAGTGGTGGTTGCGCTTGTAGTCCCAGCTCGTAGTCCCAGCTGCCCGAGAGGATCGCTTGAGCCCAGGATGTCGAGACTGCAGTGAGCATGATCGCATCACTGCACTTCAGCCTGGGCAACATAGCGAGACCCCATCACTGCAAATTTTTTTTTTAAAAGATTAGCCGGGCGTGGTGGCGGGCGCCTGTAGTCCCAGCCACTCTGGAGGCTGAAGCGGGAAGACCGCTTGAGCCCAGGAGATCGAGGCTGCAGTGAGCTGTGATTGCGCCACTGCACTCCAGCCTGGGCGACAGAGCAAGATCCTATTTCATAAAATAAAAAATAAACAACCAAGACTCGTTGGGGTCGGATCAGGATCGCGGCCGAAATGGTTTGGGTCGCCTTTGTTGTAACCCAGAACGCTTCTGCATGCTAATCTATACCTATTAGTTGACTGGGGCTGTCTGATGTAACTCCTTTCAGCTTCAGTTCCTTTAAAACGGGAGTGGGGCCGGGCGCGGTGGCTCAAGCCTGTAATCCCAGCACTTTGGGAGGCCGAGGCGGGTGCATCACAAGGTCAAGAGATCGAGACCATCTTGGTCAACATGGTGAAACCCCGTCTCTACTAAAAATACAAAACAGCTGGGCATGGTGGCGCGTGCCTGTAATCCCAGCTACTCAGGAGGCTGAGGCAGGAGAATTGCCTGAACCCAGGAGGCGGAGGTTGCGGTGAGCCGAGATCGCGCCATTGCACTCCAGCCTGGGTAACAGGAGCAAAACTCCGTCTCAAAAAAAAAAAAAAAAAAAAAAAAAAAAAAAGCACAGGAGTGACAGCGTCAGCACCATGCCGAAGGCGACCAGAAAACCTTAGCTGGCCCCATTTTGCAGGTCACCCCAGGCAGTTAGATGCCTGTGACCGTTACTCCTGTGTGTCCTTGGACAGCACCAAACAGCTACGGGAGTTGTGGAAAATAGGTTGTTTGCTAGGTTTAAGGAGAGAATGCTGTTGCCACCAAAAACTAAGATCTGATCAGTGGTCCAGCTCCAGGCCCCAGGCCTTTCCTCAATTCTTAAGTGCGTTTCCCCCGTCTTTTTTTTTTTTTTTTTTTTTTTTTGAGACAGAGTTTTGCTCTGTCACCCGGGCTGGAGTGCAGTGGTACAGTCGCACGCCGCTCCCTGAAGCCTCAAACTTCCGTTCTCAGGCCATCCTTCCGCCTCAGCCTCCTGAGTAGCTGGGACTACAGACACTCACCACCATGCCCGCCTAATTTTTGTATATTTTGTAGAGACTGGGTTTTGCGTTGTTGCCCAGGCTGGTCTGGTACTCCTGACCTCAGGTGATCGCCTGCCTCGGCCTCCTAAAGTGCTAAGATTACAGGCATGAGCCATCATGCCCGGCTCGGCTAATTATTTTATATTTTTGTAGAGATGGGGTTTTGCCATGCTGGTCGGACTGTCCCCTAGTCTTTTTTTTTTTTTGAGACGGAGTTTCGCTCTTGTTACCCAGGCTGGAGTGCAATGGCGCGATCTCGGCTCACCGCAACCTCCGCCTCCTGGGTTCAGGCAATTCTCCCGCCTCAGCCTCCTGAGTAGCTGGGATTACAGGCACGCGCCACCATGCCGAGCTAATTTTTTGTATTTTTTTTTTTTAGTAGAGACAGGGTTTTACCATGTTGACCAGGATGGTCTCGATCTCTTGACCTCGTGATCCACCCGCCTTGGCGGGTGCTGGGATGACAGGCTTGAGCCACCGCACCCAGCTGTCCCCTGGTCTTTACCTTTGTAAATAACACACTTCTTCCCGGATTGATCTGCTGATTTCATGTCAGGGTGGTTGAGACTGCCTCCCTTCCGTCCAGCCCCTGCACCTTCACCTTCACCTTCACATCTTGAATGAGCTTATGTTGTGAGCCGGGAGTAGGTCTGGTTGTGTTTTCTAAATAAGATGCAAACATTGCTGGTTGCTGAAACAAGTAATATGTTCAGCTGGGCTTTACTTTTATCACTCTTTCTTCCCTTAAAGCTAATTAGGTAGGTTTTTTTTTTTTTTTTTTTACCATTAGCCTGGTTTTCTTTTTTTTTTTTTTTGAGACAGAGCCTTGCTCCGCTGCCAGGCTGGAGTGCAGTGGTGCTATCTCGGCTCTCTCTCTGCAGCCTCTGCCTCCTGGGTTCAAGCAATTCCCCCGCCGCAGCCTCCCGTAGCCTGGTTTTCTTTTACCTCTTTGTGGTGGTCCTCACAGAGCCCCAACATGTCACACACCTATCAGTTGTATTTCGCACAGGTGTAAATCAATCCATCTCTCCGTCACCACTTTCCTCCACGACCCGCGTTATCCCCTCCTCCAGGTGGGACTGGTTGTTGTGCTCCGCCCTAGAGATGGGGCTGTTGTCCCAGAGTGTCCGGTCCTTGCTGCCTGGGGCCTGCCTCGATGTCTCCAGTGTGGCCATTCCTTCCTCTCCATGCTGTCAGAGCAGAACATCTGGTAGCTTTTGAAGAAACAGATGATTGTTTTGTTGAGGGAGTGGTCCTTGATTGTCTGAAAATGAGTTTATTTATCATAGGAATTTGGTGGGGTATAACAATCTAGATTGAAAATCTGTATTTGTAGATGGGGCACAGTGGCTCACGCCTGTAACTCCAGCACTTTGGGAGGCTGAGGTGGGTGGATCACCTGACTTTGGAGTTCAAGACCAGACTGGCCAACTTCACGAAACCCGATCACTCTAAAAATGCAAACATTAGCCAGGTGTGGTGTTGCACGCCTGTAATCCCAGCTACTCGGGAGGGTGAGGCAGGAGAATCGCTTGAACCCTGGAGGCGGAGGTTGTAGTGATCCCAGATTGCACTGCTGCCCTCCAGCCTGGGTGACAGAGTGAGAACTCATCTGGAAAAAAAAAGAGAGAGAGAGACGAAGGAAGGAAGGGAAGGAAGGAGAAAATCTGTGTGTGTTCACAACCGTGAAAGCTCTGTTCTCAGTGCTGTTCTCAAAAGATGGCCAGGACGCTGGCTTCTGACGGCCGGGGCTGTTCTCTGTCTGGCAGAAACCTCACATTCTTCTTGGAGTGAGATTTCCTGATTTCCCTGTTGACCAGGGTGGGTCCTTGCTGTCTGGACAGTTTGGTTCTTTTAGTCCTGGGTTTTGTTTTTGTTTTGAATTTTCTCATTAACGTTCTTTTACTGTTTCTTTGATAAGGTTTTTCGTGTTTTATTTTGTGGGGTATTCTTTTGTTCCCCCTCCAGAGTGTCGTCTGGGTTCTTGCTTTTCCTCCTGTGTTTTCAACTTCTGGCTTTCTTTGTGAAAGCTGTGTCTGGCTCGGCTTCAGACTCCTTGAGGGGATCTTTTTGTTTGCATCGTCCCGTCTGTATTTTATATGGAATTTTTTGTTTAGATTGTCCCGTCTGTGTTTTTCTTCATTCTTTTTCTCTTTTTTGTTTTCTTCTAGAGCTCCAGGAACACTGATAGATTGTCCTGTCTGTATTTTTCAAGGGCAGCTTTTTGGTTGAATTCAGGTTGTTATCATTTAGCGCCCTGTTCTGGTTTTCCGGTGCGTCAACTTCCCCGAGGACAGAGGAGGGTGTCCGGGATCTCACGTTGGGGTTCCCATCCAGTCTCTTTGTTCTCGGAGGCGTGTGTTTCTCTTTAAGAACAAAGCGGCTGGCAGCCCTGTGTGAGCTCTGCTCCTCATCCGGAGAGACCTGCCCAGTGGCCCGGCGAGGAGTGGGGCTTTTCTTTGAGGTGTGGGGGCCCTGAATGTCAGTATTTGAGAATTCTTCCTCTGGCACTGTTTCCCCAGAAAAGACTCCTGGCCTCCCCCTGGGTGGGGGTTTGGGCTAGGTGGAACCCCAGGGGTTCCTGCTGCCCAGTCGGCAGGACTCAGCCCCGTCTTCAGCTTGCCCCGGGGCCCCTTGCTCTGCTGGGCCTGCCTCCCTAACTGCCGAGGACCTTATATGCCACTTCTGGGAGGAACATTCTGATCTACCACAGGGTGGTGGGGGATCGGAGCGTGTGGCCTTCCCTAGGGCGCTGCCCCATCTCAGCTGCTGAGGGGGACGGTGCGGGTGTCGAGTGCCCGTGATGGCCAGGCTTGGGTTCGGACGGTTTCTGGTTTTTGGATCAGAGTTTATTATGTGGTGAGCGCTTGAGTACTGATCTGGGTTTCCAAGGGCCAGTCAGACTCCACAGGTGCCCCTGTGACAGTTGGAGCTCGTGTCCTGAGGCAGCCATGGGCCACTTGAGTGTTCCATCTGGCTGGTTTAAGAAGTACCTGGGCAGACAGACACGGTGGCTCACAGCTGTAATCCCAGCACTTTGGGAGGCCGAGGTGGGTGCATCATGAGGTCAGGAGATAGAGACCATCTCGCTGTAACACAGTGAAACCCCGTCTCTACTAAAAATACAAAAAATTAGCTGGGCATGGTGGCATACGCCTGTAGTCCCGGCTACTCGGGAGGCTGAGGCAGGAGAATCGCTTGAATCCAGGAGGCAGAGGTTGCAGTGAGCCAAGATCATGCCACTGCACTCCAGCCTCAGTGACAGAGTGAGACTCCGTCTCAAAAAACAAAGGAAAAAGAAGTAGCACCTGGGCTCCCCCTAGATCGATTTGAACTCTTGGCTTCGTTCGCATTTAGCATCTGAGTTTCTTTTCCAGGTCCGTCCAGCCACTGAGTCATTAAAACGTTCTGGAAATGTCACTAAAATGTGAGGGGTTAATAAGTGTATGAGGATACGTTGGTGGCTCTTGCTGTGGCCACCTGCAGCTGTCCTGGCCCAGAAGCTGGGCGCCTCTTCATGCTTGGAGGAGCAAAGCGCAGGCCACTCCTGCGACAGAGCTCCATTCCTCCTGGGCCCTGGGGCCTCCGAAGACACGTCCTGTCCTCTGCTCTTCTGTCTGCCAGCAGCCTCTGGCACTGGCCATGAGGATGCCACGGCACTGTGGGGGAGAGCACAGGCTTGGGGGTAGAGACCAGTGATGGCTCTGCAGAGCTCAGCCTCAGAATGGCAGCGTGGTCCCGGAGAGGCCACGGCCAGGGCCAGCGGGGCATTCTCATAATGCTGAATTCCTTCCTCATGAAAAGAATAGGCCATCCTCCTGGGAGAGTGGAGCGCTTGATGACTCGGAGATCTGGGGGTGTGCCTCCCAGCACCAGGCCCCTCCTGGGTTCTTGGGGTACATCTGTGAAAGGCGGCCAATTCCCTGCCTTCCCGCACGGTCCCCGGCGGGGGCTTCTCGGCACTGAGGTGCATGGAGGACGGGTTTGTGCGGGTGGAGACGCAGGTGCCGCCTGGGCCTGGCGGGAGGCTGCTCGCGGGGCTCCCCAGGCTCATCCCTGCTGTGAGTTTCATGCCCCTTGACCAGGAAATGCTTGAATGTCCTCCAGAGAGAAATGAGGCACGTCACGAATATGTCCAGGCGGCACCCACTAATCCCGCCCGGCCTGTGGGCCAGGCAGAGACAGAGCCTCCCAGGCAGCCGTGGCTGGTGCTGCAGCGGGGACTGTGGCTGACGGCCCCAGCGCCAGCACGGTGGGGTGCGGTTCCCCGGTCCTGAAGAACGCGTGGCCAAGAAGCCCGAGGCAGGGAGGGTCCCGCGGGCCAGAGGGTGGCGTTCCCGGCAGAGGACAGTCCTTCCGGCGCCGCCGTCTCCGTTTTCACATTGGAATGTTCTTTGTGAAGGGATAGCGATGGTCATGATGGTGGTTTCTTGAAGTTGACGTGACAATATGTAATGACGGGCATCTCTAGGTGGGCTTTTGGGGTGCCTGAACTCCCTGTGATACTGCAGTGAGCTCGGCAGCCCATCCCACCGGTCCCACACTTGATCATTGTCATAAACTTGTCTGGGGAATAAAAACTGGGTGGGGAGGGTCCTGGGCCCCCATAGATGAGGAGTGACCTCAGGTCCCACCACAGGTCAGCAGCACAGCTGGCCTGTACCTCCGCGTGCACCCGCACACCTGTGGCCGCTGCGACAGATCACCGCAGACACGGCAGTTCCGGTGACGCGGCTGCATCCGCTTCTGGATCTGGGGCCAGGAATCCAAACAGTCCACGAGGCTCCATCCCTTCTGCGAGCAGAACTCTTCCCGCCTTTCCACATGTCCTCCTTGTTCACAGCCACAGCCCAGCCTCTCTGCCCCTCAGCCTCCCCCTCCTCTCAAGAGGATGCTGTGCTTCCTTTTCCTGCCGTGCGAGGCGATGGGTTCACAGGTCCCAGGGATTCCCATGTGGACGTCTTTGGGGGGCAATGAATGATTCACTCGGTCTCCTGGGTCCCGTCTCTGAGCTCACCCAAGGCCTTTAAACCAGGGCCCGGGGCAGGTGTCGAGCAGGTAGGGGAACAGCGGCAGGAGAGAGAGGAAGCTGCGTGGAGCCTGAGCGTGTGGAACAGCGGCAGAGGGCTGCGTCGGGAGGCGGGTGTTTGGGACTCAGGAGAGCCCTCTGCGCCACGGGCAGATGTGGCTGATCTCCCGGGTGTTACCCAGTGAGGACTGGAAGATCCCCGTCTCCCTCGCCATCCAGAAAATTCACTCACAGCCGATTCCGAGAGAGAGAACTCAGGCTGGGACAAGTAAGCGTAGCCAACCCCAGAGGGAGCTGAGAGGAAGGCAGAACACTGGGGGCTTGGGCAGTCCCGATGGCTTCCTGGAGGTGGTGACTCGGTGAGAATTTGGCCTCGTCTTCCCTGGTTGTGCCTTGTCTGGCTCCCCGTCGCCATTTCAGGTCTACAGGCCTTGGCAGTCTGGGCTGGAACGGCTTCCCCTCCACCCTCCTGCGCCGTCAGTTGGACGCAGGCTCCAGCTTCCTCATGTCTGTGCCTGGCCCACAGTGGGCCCCGGCCCCCTGGCTGAGACTCAGTGCACTAGCGGGTGGTCCCCTCAGGGCTGCTGAGAGCTTGGCGCTGGGAGTACAGGGGGAGGAGCAGTCTTGCTCCCCCCGACCTGACGGCCCAGCCCCGGGAGGTCGCAGCAGCAGCCCCGCGTTCTAGCCGTCCCCTTCACTCTCCTCCTGGCCTCCACAAGCTGGGTACCCGGGGAGGTCCCAGCAGCAGCCCCGCCTTCTGAGCCATCTTCACACTTCTCCACAGGTGTCTCCCAGTCTGCTGAAGCCCGGAGGCCAACACCATGGACTTCCAGCATCGCCCTGGGGGCAAGACCGGGAGCGGGGGCGTGGCCTCCTCCTCCGAGAGCAACCGTGACCGCAGGGAACGCCTCCGGCAGCTGGCCCTGGAGACCATCGACATCAACAAGGTGGGCGGCCGACCGGGCTGGGCCATGCAGCCCCAGGGCCACCGAGCAGCCGCCGCTTCCGTCTGGCCACCTCAGACCGCAGACCCTCTGTGACTCTGAGCCCCGGGTGGAAATGGTTTGCTCTGTACCAAGCCCCCTTTTGGGCATCATTCAGTTTTTGGAAATGGGGAGAGCTGATGTCGGTCCAGTGAGATGCAGTGAAGGCTTTGATTTTACCTTGTGCCGAGGCAGAGGGAGCCGGGTCCCCCGCAGCACTGTGGACGTCCCGGCTGCAGCACTCTGGGCTGGGGGCGTCCCGGGCACTGCAGGCTGCCAAGCAGCATCCCTGGTCCCCACCTGCTCCGTGCCAGGAGCTCCGCCATCAGGACAAACACAGATGTCCCCAGACATCGCCCGGGTCCCTGTGAGGGTGGGTCCCCAGCCGAGACCCTGCCAGCGTGCGCTTCCTTAGACTTTGAACTCCACCAGGATCCCCCAGGGCCGTGTTCCCTGACGTGCCCCACGGGCCTGGCCTGCAACGTAGTCTGTGTGACTTTCCTTGTCTTCCAGATGAAATCACGGTGGAGGGGTGCCAAGCCGCAGGGGTGGAGTTAGGGTTTGAACTCCAGGGTCTGAGAGGGGCAGTGTGTGCCCGCCTGCCCCAGCTCAGGGCCTGCGGATGCGTGTGGCCATCCGTGTCACCCATTTGCTTTTCTCATGCCTGTGTCTGCCTTGTGCTGACCCCTGGCATAGAGGCTTGGGCAGCGGACGGCTCCCTGCATCAGGCGTGACGGGCGCTGCTGTCCTGGCTCTATGTCCGTGTCTCAGAACCTCCAGGAAGGTGGTGCCGGGGCTCCCTGGGAACCCCTGCTGCTCAAAGCCTAGGCCACAGCCCCAGGTGGCCACACGCGTGCTCACGAGGCCCCTCGCCAGATCCGTCAGGGACAGCCAGGCCTCCACAGAAAGGGGGTCCCGCCTCTGAGGGCCCCGACCACAGAGTAGGCCATGATCTTCTGTCTAACAGGATACCTGTTCTTCCCCTCCAGGACCCATATTTCATGAAAAACCACTTGGGCTCCTATGAATGCAAGCTCTGCCTGACACTTCACAACAACGAGGTGCGGCCGGCTTCGGGTTTGGGGATTGGGGTGGGCTGAGTGGCTGACAGCTGGGGGACTGCCCTGTGTCTGTCCCCTCGGTCTCAAGTCACGTGTGTTTCCTTTCCACTCCCCAGGGGAGCTACCTGGCACATACCCAGGGGAAGAAGCACCAGACCAACCTGTGAGTACCTCCCCCCCGTCTCATGCCTGCTGCTCCAGCAGCTCCAATCTCCATGAGCCCTCCGGGCCACGGCTCTGCAGCGGGGAACCAGCCTGGCCTGGGCCTCCCTGGGCACTGGAGTAAGGTCTCTGGGGAGCATTAGGGAACATAGGCTGTATTGCTGAGGTGGGCGGATCACCTGAGGTCAGGAGTTCGAGACCAGCCTGGCCAGCATGGTGAAGTTCCATCTCTGCTAAAAATACAAAATTTAGCTTGGCACGGCAGTGCACAGCTGTAATTCCAGCTACTCTGGGGGCTGAGGCGGGAAAATCTTGAACCTTTGAGGTGGAGGTTGTGGTGAACCAAGATGGTGCCATTACACTCCAGCCTGGACAACCAGAGTGAAATTCCGTCTCAAAAAAAAGAAGAAAGCAGAGGCGTGGGGTTGTGGGAGGGGCCCCAGGCAGGGACGGTGAGCAGCATGACAGGAAGAGAACATCCCTGTCCCACCCCTGTCCTGGTCCAAACCCCAGGGCCCCTCCCTGGCCCCTGGCCCTCATCCCTGGGTTTGTAGTGAGCTCTGAGGTCGGGGCTGCCGGTCCCTGGGCCCGTGTCCCTGGCGCCTGTGCGTGGAGGGCTCCAGCGCCATGTCCATCCTGCCCGCAGGGCTCGGCGAGCGGCCAAGGAAGCCAAGGAGGCCCCCGCACAGCCCGCGCCCGAGAAGGTCAAGGTGGAGGTGAAGAAGTTTGTGAAGATCGGCCGTCCGGGCTACAAAGGTGAGTCTGCCCCCGCGTGAATGGGTTCTTTGGGCTCCGGCGCGGGAGCCACAGCCCGAGACCCTCATCCCTGAGCTGCTGTTTTATGCTTGGTGACCATCCCTCACCCGCCTGCAGCGTCTGGCGCTGTGTCTGGGAGCCATCAGGCTGGGCCCGATAAGCACCTGTCTCACCCGGTGGCCCCTTTCCCAGCAGAGGCCCGGCCTGTGCCCTCCTTGCCCAGCCACCTCTGTGCCTGGGGCTCCTGGTGTGTGAGTGGTGGCCCCTCTGTGCCTTGCAGTCCAGTGTTGTGGAAGCTTCTGGGAATTCTTGCCAAGCAAAAGAGTGGAAGTGGGGCTGTGGTGAGCCTGACACCTCTCCCGTTAACCTTGAAACTGGTTCCACTCCTCTTAGCCTCAGAAGGAAGAGGATGGGGAGAAGCGGCTGTTGGGGGCAGCTCCCTCTGGGACCCTCAGCAGTGGAAATGGTTGCCGGTGACCTGGTTCAGAAAGCTGGGAAGCAACAGAGTAGAAGATAGAGATGTGTGTCCGTAGGGGTCGGGAAGGCGGGCAGGCTCCCCGCCACGTGTTCTTCACAGAAGGTGGGGACGTCCTGTGTGCCCGGCCTCCTGGCAGCAGCCTGTAGGGCAGAGGCCCGGGGCAGGTGCACTGGATGGCGAGGGCAGCTAGAGTGGCGGCCCCGGGCCGGGAGGCCCTGACAGGTCCTGGGCTTGGGCTCAGGGCAGTGGGGAGACAGGGAGCTTGTGTGTGCACATGCTGGAGGCTGCGGAGAGCCGGGGGGCCCGGCAGGGACTCGGCAGCCCCCCAGCAGCCGCTCCTGGGGTCCAGGCGGCTGAGCTCTGGTGGGAAGGGTGTCCTCCCTCGATCACCCCACACACCGTGTGGGCCATGTTCAGGCAGCCCCGCTTGAATCCCAGAGCAGGGTGGTGAAAGGCCCTTCCCGCTCGGTGACCCTGACACTGGCTGGTCGTGTCCCAGCACCTGGGGTGAAGGGCTCTGGGGATGGGGACAAAGGAGCACCCACCTCGGTCCCTGCCTGAGTGACCCCGCAGGTAGCTCAGCCTTGGCACACCTGTGCCTTCCCTATAGCAGTGTCCCAGACACCGAGAGCACGGGCACCGAGTCCAGCGGCTGCCTGGAGCCCCAGGGCCTCCCCCAGGGTCCTGCCCTCTCAGTGGGTGGCACTAGCCCGGTCCAGGTCCCTCAGCTTCAGGGAGGGCAAGCGGCTGGGACCTGAGAACCTTCTGTGTTGCAGTGACCAAGCAGAGGGACTCGGAGATGGGCCAGCAGAGCCTCCTCTTCCAGGTGAGCTCAGGGGTCTGGGCGTGGGGGGCGGCCACAGGTGTCCGTCCGACAGGCGGCCCTGCCACCCGGCTGTGTCTCCGCAGATCGACTACCCTGAGATCGCTGAGGGCATCATGCCGCGCCACCGCTTCATGTCTGCCTACGAGCAGCGGATCGAGCCCCCGGACCGGCGCTGGCAGTACCTGCTGATGGCCGCCGAGCCCTACGAGACCATCGCCTTCAAGGTAGCGTGGCTGTGGGGTCCCGGGCCCCCTGAGACATGGGAGCCAGAAAGGTCTGTGCAGGCTGCGCAGGGCGCCCCTCCCATCAGGCTTCCTGGCTTTGGGGGAGGGCGCCTTCTTGGACTGCACAGTGCCCATGGAGAAGGGAGAGCCGGCAGGGCTGAGCGCCGGGCAGTGAGACCTTCGCCAGGTGATCCCCGTTCCTGGGCCATGCTTTTGGGGGGCTTCCTTCTCCAGGTGACCTCCGTTCCCGAGCCAGGCTATTGGGGGGCGTCCCGAAGCCTGCGCCCACGCCTGGCCAGGGCAGCCGTCACTAAACAATGTAGACAGTGACTGCGCAGCGGGGGGCTGGCAGCGAGCTGGCATTGAGGCCAGCTCTGTTTCACTCCAGACTGAACCCTGTGTCAGGAGGGTCGTGTCAGGCCAGGGCCTTCCGCTGGGCTCCCAGGGTGTGGCCAGGCCAGAGCGGCTGGGGCCTCAGGCTGCGTTGACCTCCCTGCCCGATGGTGGTCCTGAGGTCGCAGGGACCAGGAGCCCTCTCTGTCCCCTGCCCTCCCAGGTGCCAAGCAGAGAGATCGATAAGGCAGAGGGCAAGTTCTGGACCCACTGGAACCGGGAGACCAAGCAGGTCAGTGGCTGGCCTGGGCACCTCGACTCCCGCCCGCCCGGGCCCTGGCAGCCCAGTCCCCAGCCGCGCCTGCTGAGCCTTTCTCGTCTCTCTAGTTCTTTCTCCAGTTCCACTTTAAAATGGAGAAGCCCCCGGCTCCACCCAGCCTCCCTGCTGGACCCCCTGGGGTGAAGCGGCCTCCACCCCCGCTGATGAATGGTCTGCCCCCTCGGCCACCGCTGCCTGAGTCTTTGCCACCACCCCCACCAGGAGGCCTGCCCCTGCCACCCATGCCCCCCACGGGGCCTGCGCCCTCAGGGCCCCCAGGACCACCCCAGCTACCCCCGCCAGCTCCAGGGGTCCACCCCCCGGCCCCAGTGGTGCACCCCCCCACATCTGGGGTCCATCCTCCAGCTCCTGGGGTCCACCCCCCAGCTCCTGGCGTCCATCCCCCAGCCCCTGTGGTCCACCCACCAACCTCTGGGGTCCACCCCCCAGCCCCTGGAGTCCACCCTCCAGCCCCTGGGGTTCACCCACCAGCACCTGGGGTTCACCCACCAGCCCCTGGAGTCCACCCACCAGCCCCGGGGGTCCACCCTCCCCCATCAGCAGGAGTTCACCCCCAGGCCCCAGGGGTGCACCCAGCAGCCCCGGCTGTTCACCCTCAGGCCCCAGGGGTGCACCCACCAGCCCCAGGGATGCACCCTCAGGCCCCAGGGGTCCACCCCCAACCTCCCGGAGTCCATCCGTCAGCTCCTGGGGTCCACCCTCAGCCTCCTGGAGTTCACCCCTCAAATCCTGGGGTACACCCCCCAACTCCCATGCCCCCAATGCTGAGGCCCCCACTCCCCTCCGAAGGCCCAGGGAACATACCTCCCCCTCCCCCAACCAACTGAGAAGCTGCTCCCTTCCCAGCAATCCCGGCCCAGGTGCTCCTGCCTCTCCCGTGGAGGGAAGGCTGCTCTTTTGTACTGTCCCGGCTCATTAAACGGCCTCCCCCAGCCCTGAGTGCATGGATTCCGCAGCGCCGCCCGCCTGTGTGAATGCTGTGTGGGAGGGCCAGGCACGGCGCCATCCCGCATTTAGGCGACTGGGGAGGGCCTGGGCCCACCTAAGAGGCAGCTGTGCCCTGAAGGTAGCCTGGTGGAGGACAGACCCCACCAGCCAGCTAGGGGTACGTCTGGGGTCGGGTCCTGAGGAGGGAAGAGCAGAGACTCGAAGATACCGTGGGGGTCTCCAGTTAGCCCACTAGGGGTGGGGAGGGTGAACAGGGGACAGGGAGCCCCTGCTGACTTGGGACCCTCCTTCTCGAGGCCCAGCACCCAGGACGTCTGGTTCCCCGCCCCCCAGCGCTGTATGGTCTGGCTGCACTCCTGTGCTTTCTGGGCACGGGCCCTCAAGGACAGCGTGTTGACACATTAGGCCCCGCTCTATCACTACCGGGGAGGGAGATAGGCTGCCGGCGACAGAAAGGGACCTTTGAGAAGGCCACTTTGCCTGGAGTGTGGGCGCCGGGCACTGTCCCCAAGGTCACCGCAGAGGAGATACGGCCCGTCCGCCTGCACAAACACCACACCTTCCACTTGGCTCACTTAAGGCAGGCAACCCAGCCCCTCGCATCACCCACAATGCGGGGCCTGCCTCTCGCCCACCTGGCCCTGGTGCTGTCTGCCCTGGGGGCTCTGCTAGGGACTGAGACCCTCGGAGCAGAGGAGCCAGCTGTGGCCCCTGGTGGCCTCATCTTTGGAGAAGACGTGGACTGGCCGCCAGGCAGCCCCCAAGAACCTCTGTGCCTAGTGGCACTGGGTAGGGACAGCAACGGCAGCGGCACCCCCCTGCGGGTGGTGGGGACTTTGAGAGGCTATGAGCAGGCCTTCCTGGGAGCTGTGCAGCAGGCCCGCTGGGGCCCCCAAGACCTGGCCACCTTCGGGGTCTGCAGCCCCGGCGACAGGCAGGCTGCCCTGCTCTCTCTGCAGCGGCTAGGGGCCTGGCTGCGGGGCCCTGGTGGGCAGCGCCTGGTGGTCCTGCACCTGGAGGAAGGTATGTGGGGCCCAGCCCTGAGCTTGGCACGGCCAACCTGGTGGTCCTAGGGGAGATTGGGGGCTAGCAGAGCCCCCACCCTGAGCCAGGAGGCTGTGGTCTTGCTCCTGGGTCGGCTGTGGTTCTGTGGCCTGGGAGGTGGGCACCACTCTGTCCTGTCCCTGAAGCCCAGTTCTCAGACCTGTGCCTGCCACAGTACCAGAGACAGGTGTGCCCATCTCGCCACCCACGAAGAAGCCGCAGGGCACAGGGACCTTCCTCCCCACAGCTCCATGCCCAGGCAGCCTGTTCTCAGGCCCACTACCCTGGGAGACTCCCTAGGGGGAAGGGCTTCATTGGGAGCCCCAACCCAGAGACCGCAGAGGGGGGGCAGCCCCACCCACAGCCTCAGACTCGGCCCCTGCCCGCCCGGTTGTCACTGCTCCCTGGCTGCAGGAAGGCAGCAAAGAGAGGCGCCCTCATACCCCCTCGGGTCCCCTGACCAGCGGCCAGAGCGGCAGGGATGGACCCCAAAGGCTTCCAGAGGGATGTGGAAGGATCCTGGCCTTCAATGGCTTAGGTGTGTCCTGCTGTCCTGGCTGCAGTGACGTGGGAGCCGACACCCTCGCTCAGATTCCAGGAGCCCCCGCCTGGAGGAGCTAGCCCCCCGGAGCTGGCGCTGCTGGTGCTGTACCCTGGGCCTGGCCCCGAGGTCACTGTGACGAGGGCTGGGCTGCTGGGTTCCCAGGTACCGGGAGTTTCATGGGGCACTTTCCCGGAGGCAGCAGGGGTGTGGGTTTGTTGCAGGGTCCATGGTGCTGAGAGCAACTTACAACCAGTGGCGAGGGGAGGAAGGGGGCGGGTCGGGGCGGGTCGAGCCAGACTCGGTGAGCCTCCACCCAGCTGGGCTGAGCCCTGCTCTCCGCAGAGCCTCTGCCCGTCCCGGGACACTCACTACCTGGTGTTGGCGGTGGACCGCCCCGCGGGAGCCTGGCGCGGCTCCGGGTTGGCCTTGACCATGCAGCCTCGAGGAGAGGGTAGGTCCGCGTGGAGAGGGACAGGGCGCTAGGTCGGCTGTCCCCGGCCCCCAGCCCCTGAGCCAGCCCCCGCCCACCCACCGCAGGCGCCCCCCTAAGTACCGCCCGGCTGAAGGCGCTGCTATTCGGCGACGACCGCCGCTGCTTCACGCGGATGACCCCGGCCCTGCTCCTGCTGCCGCGGTCCGAGCCCGCGCCGCTGCCCGCGCACGGCCAGCTGGACACCGTGCCCCTCCCTCCACCCAGGTGCGCGCAGGCCCGGGGGCATGGGACAGGAGCAGGCGGGCGTGGCGAGGCCTCGCGCCCGCCCCCAACTTTCCCCACTGCGGGTTCCAGGCCATCCGCGGAGCTCGAGGAGTCGCCGCCCAGCGCAGACCCCTTCCTGGAGACGCTCACGCGCCTGGTGCGGGCGCTGAGGGGCTCCCCGGCCCGGGCCTCGGTGCCGCGCCTGGCCCTGGACCCGGATGCGCTGGCGGGCTTCCCGCAGGGTCTGGTCAACCTGTCCGACCCCGCGGCGCTGGAGCGCCTGCTCGACGGCGAGGAGCCGCTGCTGCTGCTGCTGCCGCCCGCCGCGGCCACCGCCTCCGGGGACCCCGCGCCCCTGCAGGAACCCACGTCGGCGCCCTGGGCCACGGCCCTAGTGCGCCGCGTGACCGCCGAGCTGCAGGCGGCGGCTGCCGAGCTGCGCGGCCTCCCGGGTCTGCCTCCAGCCGCAGCCCCGCTGCTGGCGCGCCTTCTCGCGCTCTGCCCAGGCGGCCCCGGCGGTCCCCTGCGAGCGCTGCTGCTCCTGAAGGCGCTGCAGGGGCTGCGCGCGGAGTGGCGCGGCTGGGATCCGCGCGGACCGGGGCGGGCGCAGCGCAGCGCGGGGGCCACCGCCGCCGACGGGCCGTGCTCGCTGCACGAGCTCAGCGTGGACCTCCGCGCCGAGCGCTCGGTACTCATCCCCGAGACCTACCAGGCCAACAATTGCCAGGGCGCGTGCGGCTGGCCGCAGTCCGACCGCAACCCGCGCTATGGCAACCACGTGGTGCTGCTGCTGAAGATGCAGGCCCGCGGGGCCGTCCTGGCGCGCCCTCCCTGCTGCGTGCCCACCGCCTACGCCGGTAAGCTGCTTATCAGCCTGTCGGAGGAGCGCATCAGCGCGCACCACGTGCCCAACATGGTGGCCACCGAGTGTGGCTGCCGGTGACCCCTGCGCCGCGCGGGCCCCTGTCCCGAGGGGCCGGAGGCGCCCCAGCTCGCACCCCTTCCCATATTTATTCCGCCCCCAAGCATGCCCCCAATAAAGACCAGCAAGTGACCGGTGGGGTGTCCTTGCGTGTTAGGGAGCCGGATGGCCTCTCCTCCCGCGCACGCCCGGGTCCGCCCCATCGGCGCTCACTGTCTCTCCCCTGCCTGAAGCGCCCCACCACCGTCTTTGAGGCCTCGGACTCGGTGCCGGGTCCGGGCGTAAAGGAGCAGGTGACTCGGCGACCGCAGCACTCGCTTTATTTCGCCAGAGCCGCCGGGCGTCGAGAAGGGGGTCCCTGGGCTGGTGCGCGGGGCTGGCTCAGTCCCGCCCCTTGCCTGCGCGGAGCTTCAGGCTACTCCGAGGCCGCTCCTCCTGGTCCGGACGCCGCGGGGAGACCCAGACCTGCCTCTTCCTGGGCTCCGCGTCGCTGGAGTGCCGCGCCCACGGCCTGTGGCTCCCTTCGCGCGACTCCCAGCGCCGGGGAAGGGCTTCCCGGGGCTCCCTGGCTGCCCGTGGCTTTTCCTCCTTCCGCGGCCTCTCTTTTTTCGGCCGCTCCTCCTTCCGCGGCTTCTCCTTCCGCGGCTTCCCTTCTCTCCGAGGCCTCTCCTTGGGCCCCCGGTCGTCGAGGGGTGCTCTGTCCTCCCCGGCGGCCCCTCCGGTGGCCTCACCAGGCTCCCCTTCGTCCTTCTCTGCAGCCTCCCGACTCCTGGGAACCTTGGGTCTGGCCTCTGCCTCGGCCGGGGGCGCGGGCGGCACGGCTGGGGGCGCCGAGGCCTCCAACTTCGGCTGCAAGGCAGACACAGTGGGGTTCTGGGGTGAGCGTCCCCCTTCCCCCCCGGCCCGGGCTCCTTCCGGGAGGGGAAGGATGGGGATGAAGGCCTCACTGTCTGCGGTCACTGGAAGGAAGCGCTTACCAGCGGCGACGATGGCTCCCTCGGGGCCGAGCTTGGTAGGACCCAGGGCTCGGGCGCAGGCGCATGGACTGCAGCCTCCCCAGCCACGGCGTCTACAGCGACAGGGTCAGGACCCGAGTCAGCCGGGCCGAGGCTCGGACCACACTGTTCGTCCTCCCTCGCCCCTAGAGCCCCCCCTCCCCAGACAGGTGGAGTGAGGCTCCCCCGGCTACGGCCGAGGCCAAGGATGCCCCCAGCCATGGGAAGGGACTCCAGGACTCTGCGGAGCGCCCCTCCTCCGACCCTCGCTCTTTCTTTTCTATTTATTTATTTATTCTGAGACGGAATATCGCTCTTGTTGCCCAGGCTGGAGTGCAATGGCACGATCTCCGCTCACCGCAACCTCCGCCTCCTGGGGGCAAGCGATTCTCACGACTCATCCTCCCGAGTATCTGGGATTACAGGCGCCTGCCTCCACGCCCAGCTGATATTTTTGTACTTTTGGTAGAGGCGGAGTTTCCCCAAGTTGGTCAGGCTGGTCTTGAACTCCCGGCCTGAGGCGATCCACCCGCCTCCGGCTCCCAAAGTGCTGGGATGACAGGCGTGAGCCACCGCGCCCGGCCGGAACCTCGCTCTTTCAATTGGTTATTCTCCCCTCGAGGCTGTGGGAGACCCCTAGCAAGGGAGGGGTCACAGGAGTTGCCCCGGGAGGCGCTCGCGAGCCGAGCCATCCCCAAAGAGGGCGCAGGAGGACGGCGGCGGAACGCTCCGCGGGAGGACGGGGTGCGTGAGGTCCATCCGGAAGCCAGAACCTCCTCGCGGCGGGGGGAATGGGCCCCGCGCGAGGTCCACCGGGGTGACAGGGGCGCGCGAGGTCCGTCACTTAAGGGAAGCGGCACCAACTATGGGGGCGCGCAAGACCCAGCCCCGAGAAGGCGGCGCCCAGACCCCACCCTCGCGACCCAGGGCCCTTCCCTGGAGGAGACAGCGCGCAGGTGGACCCCAGCCCTGCCCCACCCCTGGGGAGCCCGCGCTCACCGCGGCACAGCTGAAAAGCCGAGCCCAGCAGCGCCACCAGCGAGGCGAGCACCAGGCACTGGTTGAGCGACAAGTCTCCCCAGGGCAGCTCCTCGCTCGGGGCCGGGGGCGGCGGCGGCGGCTGCGGGGGCGGCGCGCTCTGCGCCTTCTTGCGCGCGGGGACGCTCCGAGGGCCTGCGGGGGTAAGTGCGCACTGCGCTGTGACCGCTGGTTCCGCGCCGCCCCTTCCCCGCCAAGAGGGAGGCCCGCGCCCTGAACCCGGCCCTGGGCGCAGGTGAACCCAGCCTCGGGTGCCCCGCAGCTGCCTGGGGATGCCCAGAGTTTCTGGAAGAGAACTTCCCAGAGCTGAGTGGCTTAGCGGGTATTAGCAGGAATTAGTGGAGGCTCTCGGCCCGTTTCCTCCTGCCTGCCACACTTCGACACCACTCAACCAGGACACCCCCCACCCTTCCCCATATCCAAGGACCCAGCTCCCGGTCCTGGGCCTCACACCAGTCGCACCCACCCCACACCGCACCCAGGCCTCTTGCAAACTCACTGGCCCCGGCTTTCAGCCTCTCCTTCCCCGTTCCTGGGGTCCCTTTGGCGGCAGGTTCTTTTTCCTTTTCCGTCTTCTTCGGCCTGGTGTCCACACTGCGACCCTCAGCCCTCGGCTCCTGAGAGTCCTGTGGGAACCATGAGACTTTCTGCCTGTTTCCTTCCAGTGCCAAAGCCTCCCCGTGGGCTTTTGAAACCTTCCTCCCTTGGCCAGCGTGCCCCCAACTCTCCAGACCTCCTGGGTTAAAGGCTGAGGGGTCCCAGCTACTCACAAGGGACAGGCTCCCGTTCCCGGAGTCAGCCAGCCTGGGTGTCCCTGTGGAAACAGAGGGAGAGTCAAGGTTGTGGGGGCCCCCAGGCCAATCCCACCCTCTCCCCCGGCTCTGCTGGGTGATGTGCTGGTGACTATCCCCATCTTATAGATAAGAAAGTAGGCGGAGGCCAGGCCTGGTGGCTCACACCTGGAATCCCAGCACTTTGGGAGGCTGAGATGGGAGGATCACCTGAGGTCAGGAGTTTCAGAGCACCCTGGGCAACACAGTGAGACCCCATCTGTGCAAAAACAATTTTTTTTTTTTTTTTTTTTTTTTAAAGAAAATAGCGGCCAGATGCAGTGGCTCACACTTGTAATCCCAACACTTTGGGAGGCCGAAGCGGGTGGATCACCTGAGGTCATGAGTTCAAGACCAGCCTGGCCAACGTGGTGAAACCCCATCTCTACTAAAAATTCAAATATTAGCTGGGCATAGTGGCACATGCCTATAAACCCAGCTACTCAGGAGGCTGAGGCAGGAGAATCGCTTGAACCTGGGAGGTGGAGGTTGCAGTGAGCCAAGATTGTGCTGTGCTGCTGCACACCAGCCTGCATGACAGAGACTTTGTCTCAAAAAATAAATAAATAAATAAATAAAATAAAAATAAAAGAAAATAGCCAAGCATGGTGGCACACCTGTGGCCCCAGCTACTTGGGAGACTGAGGCAGGAGGCTCGCTTGAGTCTGGGAGGTTGACGCTGCAGTGAGCTATGATCATACTACTGCACTCCAGCATGGAAGACAGAGTGAGACTCTGTCTCAAAATAATAATTAATAATAAAAATATAGCCAGGCGCGGTGGCTCAATCCTGTCATCCCAGCACTTTGGGAGGCCGAGGCGGGTGGATCACGAGGTCGAGAGATCGAGACCATCCTGGTCAACGTGGTGAAACCTCGTCTCTACTAAAAATACAAAAAATTAGCTGGGCATGGTGGCGCGTGCCTGTAATCCCAGCTACTCAGGAGGCTGAGGCAGGAGAATTGCTTGAACCCAGGAGGCGGAGGTTGTCGTGAGCCGAGATCACGCCATTGCACTCCAGCCTGGGTAACAAGAGCAAAACTCCGTCTCAAAAAAAAAAAAATAAAATAAAATAAAATAATAATAATAATAATAATAATATATTAAAAATACAAAGAGGCCAGGCGCGGTGGCTCACGCCTGTAATCCCAGCACTTTGGGAGGCCGAGGCGGGTGGATCACGAGGTCAAGAGATCGAGACCAGCCTGGTCAACATGGTGAAACCCCGTCTCTACTAAAAATATAGGGCTGGGCGCGGTGGCTCAAGCCTGTAATCCCAGTACTTTGGGAGGCCAGGGCGGGTGGATCACGAGGTCAAGAGATCGAGACCATCCTGGTCAACATGGTGAAACCCCGTCTCTACTAAAAATACAAAAAAAAAATTAGCTGGGCATGGTGGTGCATGTCTGTAGTCCCAGCTACTCAGGAGGCTGAGGCAGGAGAATTGCCTGAACCCAGGAGGCGGAGGTTGCGGTGAGCAGAGATTGCGCCATTGCACTACAGCATGGGTAACAAGAGCGAAACTCCGTCTCAAAAATAAATAAATAAATAAATAAAAATAAATTAAAAAAATATAAAAAAATTAGCTGGGCATGGTGGCGCGTGCCTGTAATCCCAGCTACTCAGGAGGCTGAGGCAGGAGAATTGCCTGAACCCAGGAGGCGGAGGTTGCGGTGAGCCGAGATCACGCCATTGCACTCCAGCCTGGGTAACAAGAGGGAAACTCCGTCTCAAAAAAAAAAACCAAAAAAACAAAAAACAAAGAAAGCAGACAGGCTGGGAGACAGCTTTGCCTGAAGACGCACAGGACTTCAGTGGCAACGTGGGATTCGAATCTAGTTCTGTGAGGCCCAGCACGTGGTATCCTTGGGGTTCCTTACAGACCCCTGAGGCAGCAATGAGGGCCAAGGGTTGAACGTGGGAGCACAGTGGAAGCCAGTCCCGGGTGGGAGGCTGAGCTCTGCTCTCTGAAGATGGGCCCCCCAGCTCAAGGGGGCCACCAGCGAGGGGCTTCCTCCCGCCAGCGCCACAAGGGTACCTGGATCCCTGTCCTGGGACTTGGCCAGCGCCGAGTGGTCCTCCAGGGCCTGGCAGCTGCCCAGGCCCCCATCCAGCTCCTCCCAGGCTCTGGTTGTCATGGAGACGGCCGGAGCAGCAGCAGGTCCAGGCCAGGCTGGGAGGGGTGGGAGCAAAGCCTTGCCTTTACCGAGCCCCTGCACGGGCCTAGGCCTGACCTGTGGACCAACAGGCCCCGTCCTCCCCCACGCCCAGCC